CTGGTTCCTAACAACCATCTTCCTTTCTCCGAGACCCGTGTCTTCCTCCCCTGCCTGGAAGAGGAAAGCCGGCCGGCTGTGTTTGGAAACTCACGGTCCTTTCCCTTTCTTCCCCTCGGCATTCTTACTCTGCACCCATTTCACAGATGAAGTCACTGAGGCCCAGAGAGCAGCAGGGCTTGGACCCTGGCCCTCCGACTCTGGAAACCCCACTGACCGGGAATGGTAGGAGGGTCTTGGGTCCAGAAGGATCCGTCTGGCCATTTGGGGGTGACGGGGTTATGAAAAGGCAGAGGGAAGGCAATGGCTAGGGGGCGTCCATTTCCATTTTGAGCAAGGAAATGAGGATGAAGCAGCAAGATCTGTTTCTCTCTCTCTCTTTAGGCTCCATCACATTGATGGCCTGGCCTCCTGCATTTAGATTTTCACTCACCGGATCTGAGGGTTCCAGCTTTTGAGCAGCTGTCACATCAGGGGCTTTTACGAAATTCCAACCCCTTTCCACCAGCGAGTTTCCTAGCTTAGAATTCCAAAGACCCAGGGTAGAGTCTGATTGGCTGAGCTCAGTCACACACACGCTGTGGGTGGAGAAGAGCACTTTGATTGGCAGTCAGGACCTTCGTATTTGGGAGGAAACTGGGGTGCAGTGGGTGTACTTTTTTTTTTTTTAAGAAATGGCCTGAAAAAAGTGTTCGTGTATCTGTATATTCATGCAAGTGTATATATTGGTATATTAGCTCCAAAATATGGGGGAAATTGCCAAATCAAAAAATGATTAAGTATTTAATGCAGTGTTTATATGTAAGTAGAAATCGTGAAATATAGCATGATTCAACCAGCCAGCTCTGGAATATCTCGGCTCTTGGTTATTTATCGATTATCTCTGTGCAGGATGTGGGTGGAGGAGCGTGGGAGGAGTGTGCGCTGAGAGACGCCAATGTTCTTAAAACAGCTGCGTTCACAGTTCCTCCCAGATGGTCCTGGGGAGAGGCGGCTCCCGGGGAGCACTGGGTGCTGCCGGCCCGTTGGGCTGTGCCAGGCACTCCTTCACGGTGGTTCCTCCTCTTTGCGTCACAGCAGGCAGTGGCTTGCTGTCATGTTGCCCTCCGGGGCTCAGAGGGGTGAGGGCCTTTGCCTGGGGTCCCCTGGGTAGGAGGTGGCCGACCAGGTTCAAACCCAGACCGTCTGGCTTCAGACAGGTCGACGGCTGCTCTCCCACTTCACCTCTGCCCGCAGGTGCCAAACACAGCATCCCCCACGCTGGCCCAGCCTGCTCACCAGCACCGAGAAATGAGCCTGGCATTCCTGTTAGAGTCCAGTGCCAAAACCCTCACCTCCCTCTTCTCCTCCCATCTCCAACACGATCCTCTGTCTGTCTGCCTGCCTCCTCAGCCCCCGGCCGCAGCTAGACACGGCTCTCACCAACCACACATGTGATCACTGTGAGGCGGTGTCAGTTAGAGGCAGGGCTGGGGGAGAGCAGCGGGGCCTGCCTCTCCCCTCCGACTCCGAACGGCTCCCCCGCAGCACGGAACTCAGACAGATGGAAGCGCAGTGGCCTGGAGGGACGCAGCTCGCAGCTTTCCAATCCAGAGCTCTGGCACAGGCCTGCAGGGCCAGGAGAGTCTTGCGAAAGGATTTAGGGGTTAATATTCCCTCAGTGGATAGAGTGTCGGTCTGCAGACTGAGGGGTCCCAGGTTCGATTCCGGTCAAGGGCATGTGCCTGGCGGGAACTGAGCAGCACGTGTGCGCCATGACCGTCTGGCTGTGCAGAAAGCGCCACAATCGGCCACTGATCGCAATGCCCATGTTACGTGCACCTCGCTCTGCAGCGGGCAGAGCCAGGTGCGAAGTTTGTACCTCACGTCATTACCGTGAACATACTGTGGTCGCCACGTGGGAACCGTGCGGTGGGGAGCTGGTCTCGAACGGAACTGTGCCACCTGAGGTGTGCACATCGGGACCTGCAGCGTGAGGGCGGCCTGCAGTGGCTGCTCCTCTTCCTGTCGTTATCGCCGTCTGCTCTGTGGTGTCATTCCTTCGCACGGTGGAGCCCCCTCACTGCCCCAGCCCCGTTCAGAGTCTGCTTCCTCTCTGAGCCTTCCTCTCTCTCTCTCTCTCTCTCTCTCTCTCTCTCTCTCTCTCTCTCTCTCTCTCCAGCTCTCACCTCTGTGCTGTCTTCCATGTAGCTTCAAACCCAAATAGACTCTCCCCTCTTAGTGGCAAGATAACCCCGAACAGCCGTAGGCCCTGTGAAGAATGATGTCTCTCTGCCAGCAGCTCTTTAAAAGTCCGGGGCTGAGCCTCATTGGCCCCCCTTGGGTCACGTGCCTATGCATGAGCCAATGGCAGGCGCCCGGGGAATGTGGTGCTCTGACTGGTCTGCTGAATTCAGGTCAGCGCCTGTGGGTGTGAGAAGTGATGGTTCCCAGAGGATCCCAGTGAGGACCAGGCAGGCCAAACCAGACTCCACAGCCGGATGTATATGCCCCCCCAGTGCCTGGTACCCCGGTACCTGCTCCCTCGTCTTTTCCCTCGATGCCAGCCCTGCTTCCCAGCGGCAGCCGGCAGCCAGCACATCATCAGTGGCCTCTCCCGGCTGGGCTGGGCATTTCATTCCTTCGAACCCACCTGCCAATTGCTCCGTCCCCCACGCCAGCCCCCAGCTCCCTCTTCCTTCGCACCGTCCTCGCCGGGAAGGCTCGGTGACATCAGCCAAGACACAGGCTGTATTCTTCCTCGTGGTTTTCACTCCTGCTCCCTCTCCTGGCTCCGTGTCCCCGCCCGCAGCCCCAGGGCCCACGCTGATTTGCTTGTCCCACCTCATCTGGTGCCAGAATAACCATTTTAAAAGCTGCCTTGGGGAAATCTAATCAAATGAGAACAAAATCTAATTTGGCACTAAAAGCTTGCGACTGAAGCCCTGTTTTCCAGGGCCTGGTGGGGCCTGAATAATAGACTCTGCCTGGGCTTTTTCGGGGCTGAGGGCTGGAGAGAGGGGAGGGAGGTGAAAGGGGAGATTCTCGCAGCGGAAGCAGCTTTGACACCCGTGGCATTGGACGATAATGGGCCGGGGTGGGCTTCCGAAGGCACCCCCCTCCCCGCCCCTGAGAAAGCGTTATCTCGCCCGCCGGGCCAGGGAGTGAAGCGCGTTAGCATTCCACGCCGCACACCCTCAGAAAGACCTTGGCCCACATCTTTAGGAGCAGACCAGGAGGTCCCGAGCCAGGGATGTGGGAGTCTGGGGGAGAACTCGGCAAGCCCTGTCTCCGGGGCCGTGCACCACAGGGAGGTTCTGTGCTGCTCCCATTCTCATGGCCCTGGGGTCCTTCCGGAACACGCCAAAAGCCACAGCCTGTTCCCAGGAGGGTGGACATGGAGTGCCGAGTCCGGCGTGTAACATTTCAGAGGACGTGTGCTCCGCTTTAAGTGTCCCCATCGTGCTTCCTGTGGCTTCTCCTCATGTGGAGTCCAGGGCCCTGCCCCACCGGACCCTGCCAATGTCATCTCCTCTTCCCTCCCTCCCTGGCCTCCTGGGGTTCTTCCCATGCCCCACACTTCCCCTGCCTCAGGACCTTTGCACTTGCTGTTGTCTCTGCCGGGAGCAGTTTTCCTTGTATTCCTGTATTCGCTCTGACTCACACTCATCCTCCCTCCCCGAGGCCTCCCCTGACCACCTGGCCCAGTGGTGCCTCCAGGGGCCCATCTCCGCCTCTGCCACTGTGTCACGTCATCATCCTTTATTTTATTTTTAACGCGTCATTACTCCCTTCAGAGAGGAAGGGAGAGAGAGAGAGAGAGAAACATCAGTGATGAGAGGGAATCATGGATCAGCTGCCTCCTGCACGCCCCCTCTCCCCCACTGGAGATTGAGCCTGCCATCCGGGCAGGTGCCCTGACGGGGACTTGAACCATGACCTCCTGGATCATAGGCTGACCTCAGCCACTGGGCCACCCAGCCGGGCTGTATGCTTCATTGCCGTTCTCAGCAGCAGCACCAGCTTTATTTGTCACAGCCTCTGCTTAGCCGTCAGCCCCGGGAGGGCAGGGATCCTGTTGGGCTCACCCACTGCTGTGTCTCTGGGCCTCGGACGGCTCCTGGCATTCCCCGGGCGTTTGGTGAATCACTGTTACATGGACAGACTGGTCTTTGCCATGCTTAGGTACACAGCCTCTGCTGTCCACTTAGTGTTTTTCTCTCAGCCGTTTCATTCTTTTTACCTCCTTTATCGCACGTCACCACCGTGAACAGAAAGCAGCAGGGCCCTGTGAGGGGTCTTACTAAAGCTTACCTCCTTCCTCGTTGAAGTTCTGAACCCGTTGGAAGTAAAACCCAGGAGTCAGCAAACGGGAGCCGAAGCGGCACTTGGAGGAATGAATCTGATGCAGGCTGGGCTGGAGGGCACCGGCTTCCTCCTGAGGGCTGTGGTGGCTGCTGCTGCTCCCGACTTAGGGCGATCGGGTGAATTAGTGCAGTTCTGTTGAGTGAATGTCCAGGACTTGAGCTGCAGGCGGTATAAGTATGTCCAAGGCTGGCCAACGCTGCCATACCGTCTTCCCGGCGGCGGGGACCGGCATACACACCGGCCAGCAGTACGTGCACCTTCCCGATGCTCTGCCTCCCCGCCAACACTTGCTGTTGTCCATGTCTTCGCCTTAGCTACGCTAACGCTGTCCATACATCACTGCTCTGGAGTCATCCCTCTCTACGGTGCCTTGCTATTCCTGCCTTCATTAATAATTGTGTTTAAAGACACCTTTGATTCTACGGTAAAATGTTTTAATAGGTCGGTAACTATTTCAGAACAGTTGGCTCTCCCTGTTGTCCTGTATATCCTGTTTTATAAAGACGCTCAGAGGGGGCACAGACGCGGCTGGCTCCCCGCGGCCGGGCTCCGGGACGGCCGCGTTGGGCCTGGAGCGCAGGCAGGGGGTGGGGGGTGCCTCGGCGAGGCTCCGCTCGCCGCTCTCTCACTGGCCTCGGTCCCTCCCCCTCCAGCTTTCTTCGGGAAGTACCTGAACGAGTACAACGGCTCCTACGTGCCGCCCGGCTGGAAGGAGTGGGTCGGCCTCCTCAAGAACTCCCGCTTCTACAACTACACGCTGTGCCGGAACGGCATGAAGGAGAAGCACGGCTCCGACTACTCCAGGGTAAGCGCCGCCGCCTCTGCAGCCCCGCGCCGCCCTGCCCGTGCCTCCTCCGGGGCGGAACACTCTCCTGGGTTTGCTGACGGACGAGACGGTCCGCCCCCGGGGCAGGGCGGCCGGTTTGGCTCAGCCGTGTCCGGGGCCGGCACGGTGCCGGGGCACAGCGGTGCTCAGGACACATCCCGGCTCCTCACCGTCCCCCGTGTCTCCCGCGCCCCCAGGACTACCTGACCGACCTCATCACCAACGACAGCGTGAGCTTCTTCCGCACGTCCAAGAAGATGTACCCGCACCGGCCCGTCCTCATGGTCATCAGCCACGCCGCCCCCCACGGCCCCGAGGACTCGGCCCCCCAGTACTCGCGCCTCTTCCCCAACGCGTCCCAGCACATGTGAGCAGCCCGGCCGCGGGGCGGGCGGGGGGGAGGCGGAAGGGGGGTCACGGGCTGAGCTAACGCCCCAGGAACCGTTCTCTGCGGGGAGAGAGGGACTCACGTCCCAGGTGGCGGGCTGTCAGCATGGGACCCACATCCTCCCGCGGGCCGGTCTGTGGCGAGGACCGCACTTCGGGGGAACGGGTTTCCGTTGTAACCTCCTCCCTGCAGAGCCTCCCGTGGGGAAGGGTCCGCAGCCTGGTGGGACCTGCAGTGTCTCCGCAGCCTTGACTGGCATCGGCCCCGGGGCGGGCTCGATGCTGAGCCTTTGCCGCACCGAGTCACTGCACCGTCCCAGGAGCCGGGCTGTGTCCGTTCGCAGACTCCCTCTGGCGGTGTGCCGCTCCGGCTGGGAGTCGGGAGCCGGGAGTGACCTTGGGGAGGTGCTGGCTTGGGCTCCGCTCCTGCCGATGAGGGGGCTGCAGCGCCGGAGGCTGCCCGGTCACCCCGTAGCGGCTCCCCGACCGACGGCCTCTCACGGAGAGACCATGGCGACAGGGAGAGGTGGGCGGGGAGCGGGCGGGCGGCCACGGTGGACGGCGGCATCTCATAACCTAATCCCTGGCGGCACCGTCACTGCCACAGGCCGCGCCACACAGACACGCTCCTGCCGGGGACTGCCAGGGAGCGCAGGCTGTGTCTTTGTCATGGGAGGGGTCCCATCCTCCAGGCCAGGAACCGGAGGCACAGAGAGGGGAGGTCCCTTCCCTCAGGCAGCCCAGCTGGTCAGCAGCAGCGGCAGGACTCACACCCAGCCCCCACTCCCGCCTCCCGCCCGCCCTCCGGCCTCCTCCCTCGGCCTCCTCCCTCGCCTGGCCAGCCGTCCTCCCGGGAGGTTCTGCTCTCCGGCCTCAGCCACCTCCGCTCGGCGGAGACACGCAGCAGCCCTCGCTGGGACACGGGGCGGCACGGACAGGGCACGCTGCTGCTTCGTGTGCCCTGCACTCGGGATGCGTGGCTCCCTCAGCCCCTCTTAGCTGATTTCCGACAGCACCCAGGGGCCGCCTGGGGTGTGGGAACCCCGAGGTGTGGGAAGGAGGATTTGGTAGGGGATGTCCCCTGGGCTCTGCGAGGAGGATTTGGTAGGGGATGAGCTGCCCTCGTCCCTAGAGGGCAGCACTGCCCCCCAGCACACTCCACCCTCCTTATGCACCGCTCCCCTCGGCCAGAGGGCACTCGGCCAGCTCCGGCCCCCCTCGGGGAGGGTCCGTGGAGACGGAGGGTTCGTGGGGAGGGAGGGTCCGCTCTGCGTCTGTGGCTTCTCCGTTAGCAGGTGCTGGCGGCTCCCCTTCCCGCCCCCGGCAGCCCTGGTGCTGAGGAGATGGTTTGACATTGGCTGCTCATTTATTTTCCCTTTGAAATGAAAATCACAGAAGTTGGACATGAGCGGCGCCTGCTATGACTTACCCAGAGAGCCCCTCGCCTTATTGGGGGTGTGTTTGGGAGGCTCTCCTCTCTCTGGGGTGTCATCATTCCTAAGACAAAGCCAGAACGCTCTGCCGCTGGACGCTTAGTTATGACCGCCGGGCAGTAGGGGGATGGAGCCCTGCAGGTCGGTGTTCCAGATCTTACCACCAGGAGGCGCCGCAGACTCCCCGGTGAGCCTGGGCCCTGGGCCTGGGCCCGGCCCGGGGGCTGAGAAGCGCTCTTGCTGCCACATTGTCTCCCTTCCCTCCCAAGCACACCCGCAGAGGTACCAACCGATGTGCACACACGGACACAGCACATGCACAAGCATGAGCACACAAACACGGAGACACACGGACCAGACACAAATACACATACAAAGATACAGGTGCACGCACAAACCTGTGCACACAAACACACACACACACACACACACACGCACACACGCACACAGAGATGAGCACAGACGCATCAGATTCAGACACCGATATAGACACAGAGACACACGCTTAAAGATCCGCACAGGGACACAAAGACAGATACCAGCTTAAAGACACACAGACATGCAGAGACAAGGAGACGCCACCGTCAGGCGTGCGCATACACAAATGCACTCGTGCACACAGGTGCAAGCACACGGACGCCCGCCCCCGAGCTGTGTTTCAGGTGTGGCCTCTGGTTGTGGGTTCACAGCCCCTTTTCTAACCCCCTTTTCTAACCCGTGGAGGCCAGGCCGGCTCCCAGCCTGGGGTCGGGGCTGCAGGGCGGTCACCCTCCCACCGCCCCAGCCTGGGGTCTCCTCCCGGAGGCCAGCTCTGCGCCCAGGCCTGGTATTCTGCAGGAGGCCAGGGGGCAGCTCCGGGCAGCTGCTGGCTCTCTGAGGGAGCCTGGCCTCTGCCGGCCGGACGGCCTGGGCTGTGCAGCCTCTGCTTCAGAGAACAGGCTTTGGATTCAACCTCCACAGACTCCTGACAAACGCCCCTCGCTGGTCTCCAGGACAGACACCGGCCTGATAGATTCAGGCAGGGAGGAGGGGTGATTGCTCAAAACTGCCTCCCGGAATGCGGCCCCCGGGGCCTGCGGACCGGTTTCCCACACACCCAGCAGCCCTGAGAGGCTCTGTGCAGCACCGCCCTCCTCCCGCTCCTGGGAGGGTGGCGGGAGCTTGTTCCCGGGAATGTTCTACACGCAGGTCAGGCCCCAGGCTAGCCCGCAGGGGCCAGCCCAGCTCCTCATCAAAGGGGCCTGGGCCTGGGGCGGATTTAGGGCAGGAGACCGGCCCGCCCGGGGCTGGAAGGACCCGGAGCCTGTGATTCACCCGCTCTGCTTAGCAACCGGCTCCACACGGCCAGGCCGTCCTCTGGCCCAGCACGTGCTGATGTGCAGGAGGCACCCGTCCATCTGTGTGCTGTGGTCTGCAGGAAGGGAGCTGTTTCTGACCAGACCTGTTCGCCTCCCCCCACCCCACTCCCCAGCAACCCTTTGCCCCTTAATTGCCATTTTGAAAAGCCTTTTTGTCTTCAAGGCCTGGGAACTCAACCTTCGTGGGAAGCTTTGCCTGGGGAGGGGCGTGAGCTGGGAGGACACCCGCTGTGAGTGGGTTTAACTAGAGCACTTCTCCCAACGCCCCCCCACACACACACACACACACCTGGAGCACCATGTGTGGGTGGGGTTTTCAGTAACTCAGATCCTGGGGAGAGATGATGGGGCATGGGGGGCAGACCTTGGTCTGGGACAGAGTAATATGTTACTAGAATCATCTGCAAACTTCCGGGCCCCGGACTGAATAGGCCCTGGTGACTGTGTGCCTAATCCCAGGTGGGAATTTTTTTTTTTTTTTTAATTTTGAGTTGCTTCTAATTTTTTATTTTGAATCTTTGCACATAAATTTGTTTTAAAGAAGCCATCTATCATCTATCTCTTCTCCGGTACATGCTTGATGAATATATATTTTAAAGTTTGAATATTGTATGTATTCCCTTGCTGTTGTTTTTTATTGATTAAGGTATTACATATGTGTCCTTATCTCCCCATTGCCCCCCCATCCCACCTACCCTCCTCATGCCCTCCCCCTTCCCACCCCCTCCCCCGGTGTCTGTGTCCATTGGTCAGGCTTATATGCATGCATACAAGTCCTTTGGCTGATCTCTCCCCCTTACCCCCACCCTCCCCTCCCCTCCCTCTGAGGTTTGACGGTCTGATGGATGCTTCTATGTCTCTGGATCTGTTTTTTGTTCATCAGTTTATATTCATTGTGTTCCACAAATGAGTGAGATCATGTGGTATTTATCTTTCTCTGACTGGTTTATTTTGCTTAGCATAATGCCCTCCAGTTCCATCCATGCTATTACAAATGGTAATAATTCCTTATTTTTTACAGCAGCGTAGTATTCCATTGTGGATTAAAAGCCACATTTTTTTATTCCACTCATTTGCTGATAAGCATTTAGGCTGTTTCCAGATCTTAGCTATTGGTAATTGTGCTGCTGTGAACATAGGGGTGCATATATCCTTTCTGATTGGTGTTTCTGGTTTCTTGGGATATATTCCTAGAAGTGGGATTACAGGGTCAAATGGGAGTTTCATTTTTAATTTTTTGAGGAAACTCCACACTGTTCTCCACAGTGGCTGCACCCGTCTGCATTCCCACCAGCAGTGCAGGAGGGTTCCTTTTTCTCCGCATCCTCACCAGCACTTGTTTGTTGATTTGTTGATGATAGCCATTCTGACAGGTGTGAGATAGTACCACATTGTCATTTTGATTTGCATCTCTCGGATAATTAGTGACTTTGAGCATGTTGTCATATGTCTCCTGGCCTTCAGTAGGGAAGTGTCTATTTAGGTCCCTTGCCCATTTTTTGATTGTTTTGTTTATCTTCCTTTTGTTAAGTTGTATGAGTTCCCTGTAAATGTTGGAGATTAAGCCCTTATCGGTGAAAACATTGGCCAATATCTTCTCCCAGCGGGGCTGAAATTTTGCTCCAGGCCTGGGGGTGGGGAGCGGGGCAGGGAGGGTGTCTGATAACAGGCCCACCTGACGGCTCCTGAGCTCTACCTCTGGCCAGGTATCCCCTCCCTGGGCCTCCTCATCCTCAACATCTGGAAGCTGGTCCCACCAGCAGGGCCCAGACTTCTCAGAGTCTCCGTTCCTCTCGTAAATGGGAGAGCTGACCGAAGGGGGCATAAAGGGGACACTGAGTCACAGAGCGTGGCTGTCCCCAATGCACACTTCCAGCCAGGTCCTCATCATGCTGGCCACAGGCACATGCCTGTTATTTGTTAGTTTTTCTAATCAGCTTCCCTTTCTGAACCAAAATCCATTGCAAAAGGAAATTCGGTCCCCATGACAGCTGTCGCCTGCCATCTACCCCAGGTAACGGGAAAGGAATGCCGTCCTGGTGGACGAGGATTGGTGCTGTGCCTGCCGGAGGCTCTGCACGGAGCCCCTCTCTGGCTTGAAAAGGGGAGACGAGCAGAGTCCAGGCAGGTGTCCAGGGAAGACTGACACCGGACGGACCCGGGGCTGTGGTGTGTGGGTGTGGGTGCCGACAGCCAGAATGGGAGGGACTTTGAGTCTGTGGCTCCACACTACTTGACGCTAGACCTCCTGAGGCCTCCCACACGGCGCCCCCACTGGGGGGAAAGGCCGGCCCACCTTTCGCAGAGCCCCTGACCCCAGTGTTCACTCCCCCAGGTGTGTGTGGGCTGCAGACAGCTCAGGGCAAGCGCACGCTCATGGCCTGGGAGGGTTGGGGCCGCCCAGCACCCCCTCCACCCCCGCCTGACCCCTGCGTGTGTCTGCCCGCCAGCACGCCCAGCTACAACTACGCACCCAACCCTGACAAGCACTGGATCATGCGCTACACGGGGCCCATGAAGCCCATCCACATGGAGTTCACCAACATGCTCCAGAGGAAGCGCCTGCAGACCCTCATGTCCGTGGACGACTCCATGGAAACGGTAGGCCACCTCCCCCCCGCACCCTCTTCCCGTGACCCTCCCTGCCCTTCGCTCTCCCCCAGGGTCAGCAGCCGGAGAGGAAGGGGAAGGAGACAGAACCAAGGCCTGGCCTCCTTCCGGCCCTCACTCAGCTCTGCTTCATTGAGACACAGCTCACCCGGTTAGACGTGTAGTTCAGTGGCTTTAACATATTTGCACACGTGGATGGTCAGTACCGCAGTCCACGTTAGGACATTTTCATTGCCCCGGAAAGAAACCCCCCAGCCCTCAGCCACCCCTGCTAACACCCCTCACCCTTTGTCCTGGCAGCCTGCAGTCCGCTCTGTGTCTGTGGGTTCGCCTCTTCTGGACACTTCCTATGAGTGGATTCACACAGGGTTAGGCTCTCTGTGACCGGCATGCTGTTTCAGTGTTCCTCCACATGGCGGCGCTATTGGAACTTCTTCCTTTAGACTGCTGACTAACATTCCGCCGTGTGGCTATAGTGCACATACTCGATTTGTCCATGGCTATTTACATTTCATTAACGTCCAGTACGATTTAAAATTCCGTTCCTCAGTCACAGTAGCACATGTCAGGTGCCCGATAGCCACCTGTGGCGGGTGGACAGGACAGAAATGAACATTGTGGCCTCACAGAAAGCGCTGCTGGACACACCATCACAGACTCCTGCCATGGCCACAGTCCAACTCCATCCATCCGTCCATCCGTCCATTCATTCAGCAGCATCTGTCAGTAACAGAAGTCCCCACTCTGATGGAGCTCACATTCTCACGCAGAGTCACAAAACCCACAAATAAGTAGAAGAGAGAGAACAGGGGTCGGCAAACCAGGCTCGCGAGCCACATGCGGCTCTTTGGCCCCTTGAGTGTGGCTCTTCCACAAAATACCACGTGCGGGCGCGCACATACAGTGTGATTGAAACTTAGTGGCCCGTGCGCAGGAGTCGGTGGTAGGCCTGGGCGAGTCTATTTTGAAGAAGTGGCGTGAGAACACTCAAGGGGCCAAAGAGCCGCACGTGGCTCGCGAGCCGCGGTTTGCCGACCACTGAGATAGAAGGGGAGGAGCCTGGGAAGAGAAGTAAGGGGAGACTGCCGCTGTGCACGGCTCAGCCTGGGGCCTGCAGAGAGGAGACGGCTGGGCCAGGCCCTGAAGGGGATGGGGGGGCTGCGACCTACGACCCCGCCCCCGGGCACAGCGGGCGGCCCCTCACCTGCCCGCCTATTCCCAGATCTACAACATGCTGGTGGAGACGGGCGAGCTGGACAACACCTACCTCGTGTACACCGCCGACCACGGCTACCACATCGGCCAGTTCGGCCTGGTGAAGGGCAAGTCCATGCCGTACGAGTTTGACATCCGGGTCCCGTTCTACGTGCGAGGCCCCAACGTGGAGGCCGGCTCGCTGTGAGTGCCCCCGCCTGCCCCACTGCTCCCGGGTCCTGGGGAGCCCTCCCCCGGGCAGCGATTCCGCCGTATGGCCCAGCCACACCCCGGCGGCTCCCGGCGGGCAGGGCAGCCTCGGTGCCAAGGGAAACAGTGCCCAGTCACCGGGGCGGGTGTTGACGCGCTGGGTGCACCTGGTGGGGCAGGAGGGCCAGAGCCGCTGGCACCTGTGGAACAGAATGCCGGTGGCGGGCAGGGTGCCAGGGCAGCAGGGAGCCGCCTGATGCCGGGGACGGGGGAATGCCGCCTTGCTTTCTGTCTGGCCGGGAGCCCCTGGGGCTGGGGGTGCCGGGAGGAATCCTGCCATGGGAAAGGGGGGGTGGCAGGGTACGGGGGGAAAGGATGGGGGTGTCGTACGATCGGCTGGACAGCTCAGACCGCAGCACAGAGGTAAACGGGCCTCCCTGCCATCCTTCCTCGGGGCCCTCAGCCGCCTTCTCTGCGGGCTAGCCTCCAGGATGGCCCGTTCTGCCAGCCGGAAGCGCCATGTCTGGGCAGGGAGAGGTGGGAGGCCAGGAATCCCAGCAGCCTCCTCGGGCCCCGGGGACCTCGCGATACCACCTCGAGTGGCTCTCTGAGAAGCAGATAGACTGCCATTAAGTTATTTACGGGTCCTCCTTCCATCTGAGCGCATAGCCCGGGCAGGACCACGGCACTGACCGGCTCGCTGCGGGATTCCTTCTGAGAGGGCGGGCCTCGCCTGGGGACGGTTTCCAGAGGCAGGACAGCCGCGTCCCTCTTCCTCCGCCCCCCTCATCACATCACTCCCCGTCTCTGGTGTCGGGGTTCCCACCTGTCATCGTAGCCGTAATACCAATAGCTGTGTTTGTGGACCCTCATTCCTCAGGCCCAGGGCTCAGCACTCACACCACGTGTTCCTCGAAGCCTAACAGCAACCCTGGAAGATGCTGTTCTGGTCCCTTTTATGCCTCAGGAAACCGAGGCCCCGAGGTTCCATTGCCCGGGCTCACATGTCAGGGAAGGAGCTGGGAACTGAACCAGGAGCCTCTGCTCCTGCCTTCTCCCCCTAACCCCCGCCCCGTACACCCTCAGAAACCCGAGCAGAATAGGAGGCACTGGCCTGCTAAGGCTCTGTCTGCACTGGCGTTATGGGTGTGTTGGCCTCAGAGTCTGTGACCTGGTTCACGGGACCCAAAACCACAATCCCAAATGGACAAAACAGAGGGGACTAATGTCAGGTTTGGGGCTGAAGACACACAGTGTGTCTGCCAGCCTGGACTCCTTTGGTTGCAAGCAGCAATGACCATCGGACTGGATAAGACTCAGTAAGATCAAAGGAATGCAGTAACTAAAGCAGCCAGGAAGTCCACGGCCAGCTGTGGTTTCAGGCACGGCTGGATCCAGCAGTCCCACCATCACCACAGGAAGCTCTTCTTTCCCATCTGCCGGCCCTAGTTTATGTGAATCAGCTTCCTTCTCGGGCGTGTCTGTGCGGGGGCAGAGTCACCATGTCTTGCAGCCATCTGGCTGGCGAAACCCAGCAGTGGTTTGAACAGGAGCCCGGGGATGACTGTCACTGGCCTGTCTTGGGTCCCACTTCCTGGTTCACGGGTTGTGCAAGTGCAGGTGGAGGGCGTGAGCTCGCACACCTTCCCCCCAGACTGCTCCCCAGGGCTTTGCTGGGGCGGCTCCGGGGCAGCCTGCTCCTGCAGGAGGAGGTGAGGGAGACGTGGCCAGCAAGAGTCATGTAGCGCGTAACGTACGCATGGAATGACGGCAGCCACCCTTGCTGCATTCTGCTGCCTTGGCCACCGGTGTGAACACGAGGGGTGGGGGCCACGGGGCCACGTGAGCCTGTCACAGGGTCTTCCGGAGCCAAAGGGAGGGAGGGAGGGAAGTGCTGTGCTGGCACCTGGAGAAGGAACATTCTGGCAAGAGCAAAGGCCCTGAGGCCAGAGTGTGCCGGGCTGTCGGACAGCACTGGGGCGGTGTTGACCTCAGGTTCAGAGAAGGGTCCAGGGGAAGGCCTCGAGTTTGGGGTAGTTTTTTTTGGTTGTTTGCTTTTTTAATATATTTTATTGATTTTTTTTTACAGAGAGGTAGGTAGAGAGAGAGAGTTAGAAACATCGATGAGAGAGAAGCATTGATCAGCTGCCTCCTACACACCTCCCACTAGGGATGTGCCTGCAACTAAAGTACATGCCCTTGACCAGAATCGAACCTGGGACCCTTGAGTCCGCAGGCCGATGCTCTACCACTGAGCAGACTGGTTTCAGCTGGGGTGGCTCTTAAGGGGCGGGGGGGAGGGGAGGGGAGGCGCGTGCCTTTTGTCCGGATGTTGGGAACAGAGAGGGCATTCCTGGCTGAAGAAGCAGCAGGTGTGGCCTGTGCACCCAGCCCTGTGTGTGTCGGGCACAGAGGTGGGGGGGGCGGGCTCCGGTGAATCAGGCCACAGAGGGGAGCAGTGAGGGCTGAGGCTCAGGAACCGCAGGTCCCAGCTTCCCACCTGCAGGGCACAGTCCCTGGCCCCCTCCGCCCCTCCAGCCGCCCTCTCTGAGCGAGGGAGGCAGCCACCCTGCTCAGGCGGCCACGTCTGTCTCCCCGCCTCCCCCAGGAACCCCCACATCGTCCTCAACATCGACCTGGCCCCCACCATCCTGGACATCGCGGGGCTGGACATCCCCTCGGACATGGACGGGAAGTCCATCCTGAAGCTGCTGGACACGGAGAGGCCCGTGAACCGGTGAGGAGGGGGAGGGGCGCCGGTCTCCCCCGAACCCCTGCACAAACGTGCGGCCAAACCATGTGGGTCTGGTGGGGGGGCTTCTCCAAGAGTCAGGAGCTAGGGTTCCAGGGCCCCCCACCCGGCCACCTCCCCGCCGGGAGAGAGGGATGCCCCCTAAGGTTCCGGCTTCCCATCCGGGATGTGGACCCGTGGCAGACCCTACCTGTGTGTTCGACACGCGTGCAGCACCCCTGTGGCCAGGCGTGTGCCGGTGCTTTGCATGGGGTTTCATCATTCTGCTCTCTGTAACCCGTGAGGGGCTTCATGCAGATGCCCTTTGGCCCATTGGACACCGAACCCGAGGCCACGTGCCTTGCCGGAGGTCTCCGGGCAGGTCTGGCTCCCACTCCAGCTCTCAGTCCCCAGACCTGAGGCTGCGCTCCCAGTCGCCATGCTCCGTGCCATTAATGCCGATAACGCCGATGGCGGGACGGGCATGTCCCCAGGTGTCCGGGGCGGAAAGGGAACCGGGATGGGGAGCAAAACGTGGGCACCTGGGCAGGTGCGCTGAGCCTGACGGGGACAGGAAAGCAGGGGATGTAGCTGCTGCTGTGGCAACAGCGACACCTGGTGGCCAAAACGGCACCGACCACTGGGCTCACGGCCCCAGGGTGCAGACGATGGCAACCTGGATGAGCAGTCCGTCCACATTGACCGCCCCGCAGGGGGCGCCTTGCCCGCCAACCTGAGGCCTTCCCAGTGGGACGGGTGTGGCCTGGGCAGGTGTGAGGAGCCCTGAGGGTCAGTGCAGGGCACTGGGGGTCAGTGCCGGCTGGAAGCTGCCTCTGGGAAACGGAAACGAGAGTGACCAGCATGAAGTGCAGTTAAATTACCCAAATCCAACCGCAGGGGTCATAGGAGGGAATCCTCCAAAACGCAGTGCGGGCCACCCCAGAGGCAGCCTCGCCACCGCGCTGCCCGACGGGGTCGTTGGACTTCCCGGGAGGCACCGACGGGCACACGTGGCTGGGTGTAGCTTCCGCCTGGGAGGGAGGGCGTCAAAGCCTCTCCCACCCCCGCACACCCCGTCTTCCCTGGGACCCCGGGGTCTGTGCCGGCTGGGAACCAAGCCCAGCCCTGGGCAGCGTGCCGAGGGGAGCTGTGAGCCCCCACGTGGATGAGAAGATGGAGGTGTGCTTTCCCCCAGGTTCCACTTGAAAAGGAAGATGCGGGTCTGGCGGGACTCCTTCCTGGTGGAGAGAGGGTGAGTGCTGGGTCCTGAGGCGCCACCCAGGGCCTGTGAGCCAAGCAGCTCACACGGGTCCCCCGACAACTGCCACTTCCCGGGCAGCCCTGGCAGCCCCCCGGCCCCCGCGGAGGGGAAGGTCGCTGGCGGGGAGGCGGGGGACTGCTGGTGTCCCCATACCTTCCCCCGGTGCCGGGCGCTCACGCCCACGGCCTCAGACACCAGAGTGCCCCGCTGTCCTGCGGTGGGCACAGGGTTTGTGTTTGGAGGCCACACGTGTGGTGCTGCCTGCACAGTGGCCGTTTATTGCCAACGCAGGCCGTTTTGGGGGTTCCCTATGAAAACCCCCACTTCTTAAGTCTCCGAATGGTCAGGAGACGTGGCCAGGCTGGACCTGCCCGCTGGCGCTGGCACCACCCCCATGGGCAGGCCACGCGCCCCTCCAGAGCCGAGGCCACCCTGCGTCCCGCTCTCTGCCCCACAGCAAGCTGCTCCACAAGAGGGACAGCGACAAGGCGGACGCCCAGGAGAACTTCCTGCCCAAGTACCAGCGCGTGAAGGACCTGTGCCAGCGGGCCGAGTACCAGACCGCGTGCGAGCAGCTGGGACAGGTGAGGCGGGGGGCTCAGCCCCTGACCCTTCCTTCCCTCCATCGGCTGCCCCTCTGAACGGTGACTCGGCCTGCTCCCCGGGCATTGTTCTAGGCGCCCTGGCAACAACCTTGAAGGCCATCCACAGAAAGCAGTGCCCGCCTGCAGCTGGCATTCTGGGGAGAGTGTGGCCTTGGCTCTATGCCAAGAATCCACACGTGGTTCTGAGCTTCGAGGAACAGCCAGGGAGCCTTTGTCCCCTGGGATTGTTGTCAGGTCCTGTGCCCCGGGTTTAAGGTCAGGCGAGCCCAGGGCAGGGGAGGGGCATGCATCTGCACATGGAGAACAGCTCCTTAGAGCACAGGGCTTCCCTGCACAGGGAAGAGCACCGGAGGTGGGTGTGGGGCCCAGACCAGCTGGGGGCCCCTGTCCGTGGCCCCTGGGCCTCCAGGGTCCCTGTCCACCCGCTGGGAGTGCAGTGCTGGTCCTGCTGGGCCAGCCACCCCCTCAGTGTGGTTGCCTCATCGTGCACAGGCTGTGCCTTCTAGGAACGCCCTTCCTGGTGGGCTCACGCTCAGCCAGAGTCCTGCAGTGCTCCCCCCCCCCCCCCCCCCCGTGCCCTGTCTGTGCTTCTGCAGTCAACACGTGTCTGTCCTGAGTAACTAGCTCCAGGAGCACAGCTGCCAGAGCAGGGAGGGGTGTTCCCGGGGTGGGTGGGGGCAGGTGGAGGAGAGTGGACGCCGGCTCAGGGCTTGAGGCCTCGCTGTGCTTGCAGAAGTGGCAGTGCGTGGAGGACGCCACAGGGACACTGAAGCTGCACAAGTGTAAGGGCCCGGCGCGGCCCGGCGGCAGAGCCCTGTCCAACCTGGTGCCCAAGTACTACGGGCAGGGCCAGGGCGAGGCCTGCGCCTGCGACGGGGGCGGGGACGACCAGCTGGGCCTGGCTGGGCGCCGCAAGAAGCTCTTCAAGAAGAGTGAGTGTGGGCGGTCCGGGCCGAGGGGAGGGGGTGCGTAGCCCCGTTCGGTCGTTGAAGTAATTCCATGGGCACCCACAAGGGCCCCCAGGACCCTCCGGGCCCAGTGGGGACGGGCAGGAATAGAACCGGAGAGCCGGGTGCTGTGAGGATGGGATGTGGAGGAGGAAGGGGTGGCGGGTGCCAGCCAGGGCCCATCACATCACAGCTCAGGTTCTGAGACAGAGGAGCCACGATCAGATTTGTGTTTTCAAGGATATCAGTGGGCTGGGAGCGGCGGGAGCAGCGGGGACCTGTCTGAGCCTGGACACAGGGAGGAGGGGAGAGCTCTGGAAGGGACTTGGAGGCCCATCAGGGCAGGCTGGCGGGCCCGGTCCTCGTTGCTCAGGGAATCCGTGTTTGTAACTTCGCCGACCCCCTCAGCCTTATTTGTGGCCCCTAAGTCACTACTTGAGGTGCTTTCCTGGATTTTTGCGGGTAGAAACTCTGAGTCTCCGGGTGCACGTTCCCAGGGAGGCTGAAGGAAGAGGTGCTGTCCACCTGGGCTCCATACTCTTCGCAGGACCTCTTAACAACGTCTGTTTGGCGTCATGCTCTCCACGCCTGTGTGTGGTCCCTATGCTCTTGCTGTGGAACAGCCCCCGGCAGCGCCGAGGTGCCAGCGTGTCCTTGAGTGCAGGGAGGTGTGACACGCCTTATGGAGAAAGTGCGTGGGGCAGACAAGCTCGTGCAGGCATGAGTTGTAGCACATTCTATATAATAAAAGGCTAATATGCAAATTGACCGAACAGTGGAACGACACATACTGACCACCAGGGGGCAAATGCTCAACACAGGAGCTGCCCCCTGGTGGTCAGTGCACTCTCGCTCAGCCACAAGCCAGGCTGATGATGGCTGGTGAGCGCTGTAGTGATGGGAGCCTCTCCTGACTGTGGCTTGTTGGATATTCCCCTGAGGGCTCCCGGACTGCTAAAGGGCATGGGCCGGGCTGAGAGGACCCCGTACCCCCAGAGCACCAATGTTGTCCACCAGGCCTCTACTATTATATTAATAAGGTGTCATTTGCCCTGCTGGTTTTTCTCAGTGGTTAGAGTGTCAGCCCTTGGACCAAAGGTTCACAGGTTCAATTCCCAGTCAAGAGCATGTACCTCAGTTGCAGTCGATCCCTAACCCCGGGTCAGGGTGCAAGTGGAAGGCAACCAATGGCTGTCTGCCCGTCTCTCCCCTCTACCTCTCTCCCTTCCATCTATAAAAAATCAGTGAAAAAATACCCTCAGGGGAGGATTGAAATAATGTATGTGACCAGAGGTTCACAGGAAGCCAGCCCAGTGCCCCTGGAAGCAGTGGTTTACTATTTGCTAGTTCAGTGTTCTCGGTGGCTTTAGAGAACATGGTTCCTGCAAAGGACAATGGACTGCTTTTGGAGTGCTGGGGAAAGGCCCTCAGCCTACCTGAGGAGGTTTCCTAAGCCTCTCACCTTCCCCAGCAGGGGCTGGAGGAGGACAGGCAGTTAGAAAGCCAGCAGACACCCTCTGGACGTGGCTGGAAGACTCAGCTGTCACCCAAGCTGGCCAGGGCCCCACTCTGAGCTCAGCTGCCAGGGAAAGAGTGACCTCTGCCTGCCGTCCGCATGGGAGTGCGCCTGTGTTTTGACGTGCCCAGTACTCCGTGCCTGTCTGTTACATGTCATCCTCCAGGGAGCCTTCCTTGTAAGGCAGATTGTCTCGAGAACACCGCTCCAGGCCCGTGGTGGCACATTGGCTCAGGATTCACCCGAGCCATTAGATTCCAGAGCCTCAGAGTTCAAACTCCAGGACACATCCAAGGGAGGGCATCTCGGGCCCTGGAAACAAAGGCAGGAGGGTGACACGGAGAGCAAGGGGCATGGCTTCAGTCCAGGGAAAGATTGACACGGGCCGGCCCACCTCTGTGAAGGTCCAGAGAGTAAATATTTGAGGCTTTGCAGGCTAAACGGTCTTGGTCTCAAATGCCCAATTGTGTCACTGTCCTGGGATCCGGTGATTGGCTGATTTACAGTGTCGGGCAGAAGGCCAGATAGTTTGAGGACCCCTGGGCTTATGGCTGGAGATGGAGGGTGGGAAGATACAAGGCAGCTGGCTCAGGGAAAGCAAGACAGAGAGGCAGAGAGAACCCAGGGTCTAGTGCATGGCTCAGGCAGAGGACCTGCTCCCTAGGGAGATCCGCTCAGTACTGTGTGCACAAGGGGCCAGCTGTGGCTTCAGGGAGACTGAACTCAGGAGGGGGAAGCCAAGGAGAAAACTGCCCCGGCCCAGCAACAGCCCAGGTGTTACTGAAGAGGCGATGCTGCTCCTGGACTTGGGCCCTGGATCCTTTGATTCAAGGAGTTTGAAAAGTGAAAGGTGCCAACATGTGTCCCAAGATGGGGGGCAGCAAGGCCAGATCCTGAAGCCTTGGGGCCACTTGGGAGCAGGAATCCCCTCCTCCCTTCCGCCAGCCTCCACCCAGTCCTCGAGCTTTGGGCGCCACCTGGTGGTCATACGGAAACCTGAGCTGTGACTGGCTCCAGGCCCTTCTCTATAATAAAAAAAACACCGGCCATCTAGGGCAGCAGGGTTCTGGACTCCAGGATGTGCCTTTTTGAAACATGGTTGGGGCCGGGGCCAAATGGAGAACATTCTGCCATGTCTAACGGGGCTGCATGTCGGCTCCTGTTTTCCATAGTGGCTGTACCAGTTTACATACACACCAATCATGCACAAGGGCTCTCTTTTCTCCACATCCTCACCAACACTTACTATTTAATAAGTCATCCTAGCAGGAATGAGGTGCTGTTTCATTGTGGCTTTGATTTGCATTCCCCTGATGGGCGGTGATGCTGAGCACGTTTTCATGTGTCTATTTGGCCATCTGTATGTCTTCTTCAGAAAAATGTCTGCCAGGTCCTCTGCCTGTTTCTAAATCAGATTGTCCTTTAGAGTTGTATATGTATGTGTGTTTGTGTGTATTAGATAACATTTTTTAATTGACTTCAGAGAGGAAGGGAAAGGATGAGAGAGAAATTCATCAGCTGCCACCTGCACACCCCTCTGATGCCCACAGAGTACAAGGCCAGCTACGCCCGTAACCGCTCCATCCGCTCAGTGGCCATCAAGGTGGACGGCCAGGTGCACCATATAAGCCTGGATGAGGCATCCCTGTCCCGCAATCTCACCAAGCGGCACTGGCCAGAGGCCCCCGAGGACCAGGAAGACAAGGATGGCGGGGACTTCAGCGGCACTGGAGGCCTCCCCGACTCCTCAGCCCCCAGCCCCATTAAAGTCACACACCGGTGAGCATCCAGGCAGAGGCTGGGGCAGAAGGGACAGGCTGGGCCCTCCTCGCCCCCTCAGGGCCACACATCCCGTGATCCCCTCGCAGGTGCTACATCCTCGAGAACGACACGGTCCAGTGTGACCTGGACCTGTACAAGTCCCTGCAGGCCTGGAAAGACCACAAGCTGCACATCGACCACGAGGTGACAGGGGTCCGGGAGGGGGGCGGTGTGAAGCCAGGCCCGGGGGGGGGGGGGGGGGGAGGTCCCCACAGAACACGGGAAAACTACTCCGTTTCTTTGCTGGGAATCTGGTTCCTTCCGGTAGAGCCAGGGAACCCCCCTCGGCACCCACAAATGTGGGCAGTGGCCAGAGGCCACCCCTTTCTCACCCAGTCCCACCCCCACCCCGAGTTTCACGGCCCCCTCTCCCTCAGATTGAAACCCTGCAGAACAAAATTAAGAACCTGAGGGAAGTCCGAGGTCACCTGAAGAAAAAGCGGCCGGAAGAATGTGACTGTCACAAGATCAGGTGAGGAGGCAGCAGAGGGACCCAGAGCAGTCATGTGGGACCACTCCTTTCCTTCCTTTTACCTCCTCAAGGCCCAGAGGGAGACACAAGGCCGCTCTTCCTGTCTGCTCCCTCAGGGTAAAAACAAGTCAGTCATTCACATCAGCACTGGCACATACCCCGCACCCCTCCCGCCCGTAGCCGGTCAGCTGCCCAGATCCAAGCTCTGCCGACAGGCAGGCTGCTGCTCCGGGAAGCTGGCTCCCAGGAGGAAAGGGGCTCTTCGGGAACAGCCCTGTGGCTGGATGTCACATTACCAGCCCAGGGCACCCCTGGCCTAAGGGTCTGCACTCAGGAGCAGCACTGTCCAAGGTCACTTCTGTGATGATGGAAATGGCTGTATCTGCTGGCCATCAAGGGGGCCACCAACCATGTGTACACACTTGAATGTGACCATGTAACTGACAAACTGAATTTACAGTTTTGTCTAAACTTAAATAGCTACATGTGGCTACGGTACCAGGCAGCCCAACTGGAGCATCTCTGCTCCAGTCCCAGGAAGGGATTGTAAAACAAGGATCCCCCTAGGGCTGGCCCTGACCAAGCCTGAGGTGGGGGAGCCACAGGGGACAACCATCAGGTGATGCGGAGGCTGAAGCTACACAAACCAGGCGCAGCTTCCGGCCTAAGCCGACGTACACCTACCTCATCCTTCCAGCTCACACTTGCAGGAAGGACCAGGCAGGCGAGACAGTAACACCCCCTTCCCTCCCACCCCCTCACCCTCCCCCCGTCACTGCATCAGAAAGAGGGACGGTCCCAGGGACCTCAGTGAACCCACCCAGGAGAACTGTTCTGTATGCAGTTTCTGAAACCTGGGGTTTGGGTTCTGTTCCAGTTACCACACCCAGCACAAAGGCCGTCTCAAGCACAAAGGCTCCAGTCTGCATCCTTTCAGGTAAGGCTCAGCTGACAATTTAAAGGATGTCCATGTGCCTTCTCAGGCAACCCTCTACAGACGGCTTAAGGCCAGGGAGAGAGACACTGAGGCTGTCCTTCCTTAAGCTAAAACAAACAAGAACAAGTAGTCCTGGCCTTTCCCTGGGAAGCTCAAGGCAGTCCTTACAGAGGTCTCCAGGCACCCTCCCCCCCCCCGTGGCGGGAGTGGGTACTGCACCACACCATGCAGGGTGAAGGCCCAAGAAACTGGTGTGAGCCCAAGTCCAGCTGCCTCCTAGCTCTCCCCACCTCTGTGCCGCCATGGGACTTGGGGGTCCCTAGTGCTGTGCTCACGGTTCTCTGGCAAGAGCGGCAGAGGGTCAGGGTCAACAGTCCCTAAAGAGGCTCCAAGGTGGGGAGGCCAAGAGAGGTGTGGCCATTTGCCCACAGGAAGGGGCTGCAGGAGAAAGACAAGGTGTGGCTGTTGCGGGAGCAGAAGCGCAAGAAGAAGCTCCGCAAGCTGCTCAAACGGCTGCAGAACAACGACACGTGCAGTATGCCGGGCCTCACCTGCTTCACCCATGACAACCAGCACTGGCAGACGGCGCCGCTCTGGACACGTGAGCAAGCCCGGGGCCCGCAGGAGGCAGCTTGGGCTGGAGGGGCTTCTCCAGGACCTCACCTTGCCCCCTTGCCAGACCCTACAAGGTCTTTTGGGAACAGATTCTCTGACATCAGGGGTCGAGTGCTCCCCACAGGCCTCAGGCCCCGGGGACCGTCCTGGACAGGAATTCCTGTGGGCAGAATGGGTTTCTTCCTGCAGGCACACTCAGGGCATGCTCTCTCTTCCCTTGGCAGTGGGGCCCTTCTGTGCCTGCACCAGCGCCAACAACAACACATACTGGTGCATGAGGACAATCAACGAGACCCACAACTTCCTCTTCTGTGAATTTGCAACCGGCTTCCTCGAGTACTTTGATCTCAACACAGACCCCTACCAGGTACAGACAACCCACACTGGAGAAAGAGATGCATGGGGCTCAGAGGTGCTGGCGTCAGGCCCCCATGTGGAAACGATAAATTACCCAAGTCCCTCAGACAGAAGTGAGTTGTGAGGCCTCTGAGAACTTGGGGCTCCACCTTCCTGCATCTGCAATCTAGACCTTGTTATAGCCTCTTCCCCGTGAGAGTAACGCGGGCTGTGTGGGAACTTGTGGAGGCTCCTGGGCTGAGGGGTCCTCAGGGCCAGGCCAGACCCTGTTGGGTGCCTGCAGGGACAACCGCCAACACCCATGCAACACTTGCTAAGGGCCAGGTGCTTCCATATAGCAAATCACCTGAACACAACATGACTTTAAGTGGCCCAGAACACACAAGGCAGAGGAGCCAACAGAGCCTGGTGAGTGGAACCAGCATCTTACCTCAACTGACCGTCATCACTGAGCTCAGCGCTCCAGCGCTCAGCAGTGTGGCCTTGGCACCGGCTGGTTACGGGTTTCAAGGGGAGGCTGAAGTCGTATTTAACGTGAATAAATGACTTTTAGATGCCGGCCACGCTATAGTCTGCCGGCCTTTCTCCTTTAGGTAGGGCATTCCTGTATTTACAAAAGGGCATGGCAGAGCATATAGGTTACTCGGTCATTGGTAGCTCCCAGACTAGGCAGGGCCCCAGGGACAGTGATGGAAGGCTGCTTAGAGGCAGTTTCCTAACCAGTGGCTCCAGGAGCTCAGTGTGAAGCAGAGGCGGTTTATTCACGTGAGTTTTTATCCTCATGAAGAGAGAGCCTTCGTGGGGCTTGAGGCAAAAAAGTATTCCTAACTGTTCCAAACTCTGGCTCCTGCAGAAGCAAAGGCTACCATCCTGTAGCACCTGCTGCTCCTGACCTGCCTGAAGCCAGTGCCCCCGAGGGGGGGGGGGGGGGGAGACTGCGCTCACCTGGCTGATAACCCACCTTCCTTCCAACCAGCTGATGAATGCAGTGAACACACTGGACAGGGATGTCCTCAATCAGCTACACGTACAGCTCATGGAGTTGAGGAGTTGCAAAGGTTACAAGCAGTGTAACCCCCGGACGCGCAACATGGACCTGGGTGAGTAGGCGCCTGTCGTGGGGCCTGTAAGGCGGCAGGGTTACCCACAGAAAGTTTAGGTTCACTCTGGCCCGAAAAGTGAACCTAGAATCACCAGGAGTTGATGAATTCTCACCATGGCTAAAAGTCACCAAGTGCTGCTCTTATTGATCCTATGACAACCCTCAGGTACAGCTGGCTGTCCTCACTTCGTGGAGAAGTAGTGACTGGGTTGGCTGACTGCAAAGCCCTCACACTTGGTCACACTACTACACCCTCTAGACTTGCCAAGAGCCACACACAGACCTCCCGCCACCTGCCTTTCTCAATGCCCTTGGCTTTCTGTAGCCTGGGTGTCCGTGCCCCTATCTGCCTCCCCTACCATGACCAAGGTCAGTGTTGAAAGGATGCATCAGGAAAGCTCACCTCCTACTCAGCCTGCTCTGCCTGCCTAGGGAACACTGTCAACACCATGAATTTGTGACAAACCACCTTCGGTGTTTAAAAAAAAAAAAAAAGGTTACAAAGTTTGTCATTGCTTGTTCCATATTTACTCTAAATTCACTGTTCCTATTTTGTTCATGTCTCCTTTAGGACTTAAAGATGGAGGAAGCTATGAGCAATACAGGTATTCGGTTTTGTTTCTAAAGCCTCAGAACGGTCCCATGTGGAGGCCCGTCCTTTAGTCTAACCTCTGTGACTGCCCTCTCGGTCTGCCCTGGGCCTGGGTCGCCCACCAGTCGGTGTCACCTAAGCGACCATCTTTGTATTGTTCTTTGAGAGTAACTCTTTCTTTCTTGGTGATGGTTAACACTCATTCTTCTTTTGACACTTGAAAACTTAGGCAGTTTCAGCGTCGAAAGTGGCCAGAAATGAAGAGACCTTCTTCCAAATCACTGTGAGTTGAGAAATGGATTTACAAATAGAGACCTGGTTCTGGCTTGCTTCGTTTTGCCAAGGCTATTCTGTGTGCATGCCAATTCTTACATATTACTCTCATTTGTTCCTATGATGAGAGGGGGAGCAGTAATGTACATCTTTCCTGTAAAGTAACACCCTTGAGTACACTTCATGTTTTAGGTTAATAGCTTGTCTATATACACTGTTGTTCACTACAAATAAAATGTGCCTGGTAAACTCAAGGCATTCCTTAGAAAATGAGAAGCACTTAAGTACTGTAACTGCCAGGCACCTTGAAGGCTGTGGCTGCAGAAGTGTTACCTGGTCCTTACATAACAACAGTGGGGCAGTGTCATTAAATGGTTTCCAAAATGTCCATGCTGCACACTCCAGTGCTGCCAGAGGCCGGAGGGGGGCTGAGAGACTGTGGCAGCCTAGAAAAGTCGCCTCGAGTCCAAAGAGAAAGGTACAAATGCGATGTAATTTCAAACCCTCTGATTCATCAGGTCAATCCAGAAACCCAAAGGTGTGTGAGAATTTTTTTTTAGCATTGGCAACTAATTTGACGCCAAACAAAACGCCTTGATGAGCTGCCATTTGCAACCTCTGGCCTATTCATGTCTTTCCTTATGTGTGGAGAAACCTATGCAGCTTTAATAGGGACAACTAAGCATGTCTCTACGTGCTTTAATTCTGAGAGCACCAATCTTTATCCCTCACATTCTCCTTGGCCACTATTCTACCCCTGGTCTTTAAATGCCAGCAGCTGAAAATCTAGATTTGAGGTTGTGACAAGCCTGGTCTGAGGGACCTATGATAGAAATAGTCGTCCTCAGCAGCCACATCCTTGAAGCAAAGCTGAGGCAGCTGTAGGACTGAGTTAATGCCTAGCAGCGTGACAATCCAATACTGAGGTGAGTCTGCTTTGTTCCACAGGGGACAGCTGTGGGAAGGCTGGGAAGGTTAAGCAGCATGGGATGGACCTCCCAAACAAGAGGCATCACCTGACCATCCAGAGAGCAAAGCCCTGTGTGATTCCAGGCAGACCTATGCCAGGAGACCTGGGAGACACAGAACTTGCTTTCAGTCAACACGGCAGGTTGTGGAAGAGAACTACCAGGAGTAGTGATACTTCGGGAAGCCCATTTTTGCCCTTGCTTTTGCTTTGGACTGTACCTCACCAGCGTCACAAAATGCATTTTCATATCAAAGTCACCACTAACCCTCTCCAAGGCTTAAAGGAAAAAAAGGTGGTTTTTTGTTTGTTTGTTTTTTAATTTCCCTGAAGAATGAAAAGTCACTGGAATGTTTTTTTTTGTTGTTGTTTTTTTTAAGTCATAGGGAAACAACAACCCTGTTTTAAATCCTCTCTTATCTTTTGGTTTGTCACGAGGAACGAACTTAAGAGGCAGGATAGTGGCAACGTGCAGATGCTGGCAACAGTGCCCAGTTGGATAGTGAGTCATTAGCACAAGAAGTGACATTACCTAGCACTAGAGCCCTGGCTGCCTCTGAAGAAACGGACTTCACTGTAAATATGTGACTATTTACATGTAACCGGCGTGGGACTTTTAGGGGAATCTGACGAAGAAGAAATCCAGTTTTGAAGCGTGGTGGTGTCAATAAACGCTGTGGCCAGTGTGAGAGAAAAGCCCTGCAGTGTGGACATTTCTGTTCCCGTCCAGGTACCATTGCCCCTATTCCCGTGTTCTCCCCCCAGAACTGATGTTTTCTAAAGTGCTGGAAAGAAATGGAAGTTGATGTACATCCCACATTTTAATGAAGTTGTATTTGTAAAGAAAGGTTTGTAGTCTAAGTAGTGTCACACAATGTTCAGAACTCCAGCCAATGACCAGCAGTCAGTATGAGGTAACCTTTGACATTTTGTAAAGGGCCATTCTTGGGAGTGTTTTTGTTTTGTTTTTTCCTTAAAATCATTCAATACACCACCAGTCAACAACTTTTTCAAAGGAGACACCTTTGATATGGGTGGTTTTTTAAGGGACAACAGAGGTTACAAATTAATGATTAAAATTTACCATATTTCAAGGAACTCACAGGTAAGTCTCACATTACACCAGCTTTAGGATTTCACTTTTAAGGTAAATGTGTTAAATCAAATGCAAAGCAACTGCTAACCCTTTCTGTCCCAGGGAATCTAATCTGGTGAAGAGAGCAGCTAGAATGGGAGAACAGGAGGAATCTCAGCCATCAAGTGGTCCAACCCATTTCTCATTCAATAGATGATCCCTTGTCACTCACCTTTTGTAAGAACAGTTCCATGCTTTTCAAGATTTCTTTTTGGAACAAGTTTGAATAGTATAATCTCCAGTTTTGCTGTTCTATTGCTGCACACAATAAGAAGCATTTGGGGGAGTATTTTAACCTCACAGAAACAGCTACTATTATTTGAAATAAGAGTCCTTAACATTCTTTTTCACTCTTAATCCAAGAAAGATTTTTCTTTAAGTAAATAAAGCAAGCTCTTTGGCTTCAATTTTAAATAGAAACCTTTATTTACAATGACACCCAAAATGATCAGCAAAACAGTCATACCTTAACCACACATCTCATAAGTTATCTCATGTGGTCTGGATTCTTTGCAGGTTCAAGGATGATTTAGATTTTTAAAAAAAACAAACATTTAATGTAAACTTGATTGAATTCATTCTCAACACTGTAAGTCGATTCCTGAGAATTTAAATATTGCTCTCAGAATGACATTTCCATCTTCAAAATCCCATACATTGGAAGAGAGGAAGAGAAAGAAGGAAAAAAGAACACCCTGCTCATTAAACAATTTGCCTTGGGCTCAACAGCAGCTCCTGCTCCTCTGCATCTCCCACTGGGAACAAACTCATGGCTTCTGCAAATAAAAAGGGAACTGGACAGGCATATGGGTAATGCAATGCATTCTGTTACTTTCTAGCTGCATCTATCTCTGGATCAAAGAACTTTTAGGACAGCAAACTGATGTCCTACATTACCTCCCCCTAAAAACCCAATTCACCTCAAAGTGAATAGGATTAAGCAGTCCCTGTTGATTGATATTTACACCTTTCCATCAAGATGCACAACTTAGAAAAGTGACATCATAATATGAACATTAACAATTTCTATTTGTTTTTTTAAAGGAAGAAACAGGTACTTCCTTTATATCATTTTGATCTTTAAAAATATATATATTATATATCTTTGGATTCAGCAAAAAAGGAATACTGGAAATATCTCACATTCTAAAAGCTGATGAAAAGATTACTTAAACTGTTCACCAAACAGATACCAAGGTCTAAAAAAGTAGGAAGAGGAGAGGTAGGCAGCAGGAGTACAAAGAATTATCCAAAAAAGATTAAAAACAAATTATCTCAAAGACGGCATCTATTAAAAGAAAATCAGAATCTTAAGTTTGCACCAATAAAATGAACAAGTAGAAAATATAAAAACTTATAACCTTTGTTTTTTTCATATAAAAGGGGAGTGCTGCCTTCCAGTTAGCCTGGAGCCAGGACTAAGGAAAAGAATCACAAAACTTTTTGTTCTTAATTTTTAAAAGTCAAGAAAGGTAAGAGCACCATTCTGTTTCTTCCATGCACACACAACTTAAACAAGAAAGATTCAGACATACCTCCCACAACTGTGTCTAAAAAGACAGACACTCAAGTTAGGTCTCCGGACAGGAGGATGTGTTATCTGAAAAGTACAGGCCACTATGATGGAAGGTGATGGATTCACAATCTTAGATTTATTTTTAATGTGGCAGGAGGGAATGGGGTGTCAGACTCAAATCCATTCTAGTGGTGGTTCTGGAAATATAGATTTCACTTATTCATAAAGAAATTAAAAGATCTTAGCTTAGAGGCACCTACAAAGATTAGCTCAATGTGTATGAAATAAAAACTAACTGGCTCCCAATTATTGCCAGGATGTGACACCAAAGCTAACAGATATCTGAAATTAATATTTTCCAAAAACCCAATTTCATTCAATTATTTTAACTAAAAGTAAACCAGATACAGGGAATTAAATCTGATTTTTTTTTTTTTAACCTATTCCCAACTGACAAGTGTCAAGGAGTGGTGATAGCAGACAAGGGCAGGGGTAGCAGGAGGAGGGAGTGCAACAGCGCTCAGACTGCAGCTCTGAATCATACAAAACTGACTTCCTGGGGCTGAGTCTTATTCTCAGGGATGGTGATGTCCATTACCAGGACATGACTCTTACTCTCAGGGATGGTGAAAGCATCATGTTAGTGAATGACAGCACAGCTGAGCAGACATAGAAGCCACACATCCAGGATTCTACTCCTGAGAGCTCATTGGGATTCAGGTCCTAGTAACCAAAACCTGAGAGCTCATTGGGATTCAGGTCCTAGTAACCAAAACCTAGAGCAATCCTCAAGTAAACAAACGGACACCAATTAAAAAAAAAAAAAAAATGAACTGCTATTGTTTTATTTATGGACCACTTTAAATCAAATTGCTTAATATTTTTAAATTCTTGATACCTTTTTATAAAACATTTTCCCATGTCTATTCTTTCCCCCAAAATTAACAAAGTGCTTATAGTTCTGGTAGAAGAATTAAAAAAAAAAAAAATTTTAAATGCCTACATCTAAACAAATGATCTCTTTAAAAAGCTTTTAGATTAAGAGACTGAAAAGAACGAGGCATCTAAGGCTGGAGAGAAGGAAAAGCTCTGGATCGCTGTCCTTTTCCCCAGGCCAAAAAATTCAGGGATGACTCTTCTGTTTGTAACCTCACTACACTGAGCTTAATGAAATCAACTATGTTAAATATTTAGCTTCACAAACTCTGTAAAAATGAGCTGTTGTGACCTACAAAAAAAGTATATACATATTTTACATGATATAATATCTTAAAGGTCATATTTACAAAAGAAAATCTATTCACAGAAACACTGCGAAATTCTGATTCAGAATGCAGTACCTGGCCTTGCGTTTTCTGTGGTTTATTTTCAAAAAGCATTATTGCTCTACCATATAGGCAAATGGTGACACCAGTACTTTCAACAACAACAAAATCATAGTTCTTATCCAACAGATAGACAAAAACCAGGAATGTGATTCACCATTCCTCAAGACCTCAAGAATATTGCATTTATCCACTATTTTTTAAATAAAGTGCACTCGGCGGCACGTTAGCATGTGAAAAATTGCTACTGCTGCATTAAATACTGTCATCTCATTTCCCCTTCTACAAGGCCATGTGACATCAAGGAGAATTCCTGGAGGTGAAGTATGACAAAATGTTAGGAGCAAATGAAAATCCTAACTAAAGCCTAAGTCAACCAAGAATAGGGTTGGAGCAACTCAACACTATCATTGAGAGAGAATCGAGAAATGCCAACCCTACGGGACAGAACTACCTGGGAGTGACAAAAGCAAATGAAGACTTGCACTTGCTCTTCCTCCAATAATGCAACCAGAGAAACCAGATGTTCGAATCTCCTGATTTCTCCAATGTTCTGTACTGAATGGCCAGGCAGACGGAAGGGACAAAGGAGTATTGTGTGATCAATAACACTCCGTTACCTCCAGAACCATCTCCCTAAGAAGCAGAAAGCCAAACTACTTGTTTGGAACACCATGATGCATGTTGCAAGGGGTGGAGAGGGGGGGTTGATATCACACTTCAGCTTAAAATCCAGTCCTACTCAAATGACATCACTTGGAATACCCTTGATGAAGATCAAAGATGGTCCTTTCTTCAAAGCTGGGTGCCTAGAACAATGATTCTTTACTCCTGATAATCCTAGTGCAGTGTCATTTGTACAGTGAATTCTTCAGAAGTCCTGATGTGGAGATGTCAGCAGTACTTCTGTTAGCAACCAAAGAAACATGAGTGAAAAACACTGCGTAAGAAAAAATAAATCTCTATATCTACACTGATGGCTTACAACATGGTTCTGGCTTGAATGAGCCAGATTCCTAAGATCTCAAATTATCCAAATTATCTAGTGGCCCAATTCAAATCAAACTTTTTTCAGTGACTATATTTTTAAGTTTTACATCCAAGTTAAAAATCTACCTAGGAATTTAGATTACATTTGAGGCTTGGGTTCCTTCCAGAGATCAAGAAAAGTATTTTGAGAAAGTAAAAAAAATAGATCCCATACCTGCTCGGGGCCCATGGGCATGCCAGACATGGGCATGGAGTTCATGTTCATCTGTCCCATGGGACCACTGCTGCCATTCATGTGCACCATGTTATAAGCTGCAGGATTCCCCTGGTGGGCATACTGCTGCTGGGGGAAGGAACTGCAAAGGAAGTGAGAAATTACAAGTCACTTTGGTGACAGAACGTACACACACAGACTCATAATTTTGCCAAATGTCACTATACTTAAGCAGAGAACAACATGAAAGGAACTCCGGACAGCCTGTCCTCTATTTTTCACAGCTGTCTGTGTTCAATGCTGTCACAGATACATGCATGGAAGGACTCACAAAATGCATGTGCCAAACAGCATTTCTCAATATGAACCCAGGCCTTTGGATCTCTCCATTCAAACAGGCTGAACTCAAAAATGCAGACACCATCTAAACATTTGGCACTAGAATAAGAGTGACTTTTAAAGTCCTTGTTCTTTACCTGCTCCTGGCCAGGTTTCCTGATGGCCAGCCTTTCATTTCCGAGGACTGATACATAGGAGACGTCTGAGGGTGCTGCATCATAGGATTCTGGGAGGGACCCATTCTTGATGACATCATTGCATTAGGAGGACTGGACACTCGACCAAAGGCTGGATCTGGTTGTTGTCCCATCCCTTTAAAAAAGAAAAAATTAAAATGCTCAAATGCTACTCCTTAGAATATCAGCTTTCTATAGTAATTTTATGTGTTTTTTTTTAAAGGCAGGAGAAGGTCACAAGTATAAGACACTGAGTGCTTCAGGCTGCTGCCTGCCAGTTATTTTTGCTTCTCACCAAAATGCCAACTAGAATAATAGGCTTATTACTGAAAAGCACACTGTCTAGATCACTTAAAGGGTAGTTACTTCAGTAAGCTCTCTGTATAAAAGGGATTCCATATTATACTGCTCACATTACTGACCCTCTATAGAGGACAGAGAGTTGTTGTCCCCAACTGGCAGGGATGAATTTGGAAATGTAATCTCCCCAGCAGATACCACTATCCCCAAGAGGTATGAGCACTATTGTAATACTATTGGCCCAGTGCACGGATTTGTGCACCAGTGGGGTCCTTCGGCATGGCCTGCGGAGATCGGTCAGAAACCAGCATTCTAACACTGCCTGTCGCTCCTGTTCGCCCTGGTGATGCTGCCCTTGCCACCACCACCACCTCTCAGTAGACTCACTGCCACTCCAGTGTGGTCTCTGGGCTGTGGCAGACAGCCGTGAGTCCTGCATTTGGTGCCCATTGGTGAGCTGAGCGGCATTCCTGCTGTAGGGGCGCACTGATTACCAGGGGGCAGCTCCTGCACTGCGTGTCATAGCAACCAATCAAGTGGCCAACCGGTTGCTTTCGCTTTTATTTATATACTAGATGCCCATTGCATTAAAATTCATGCATTGGAGCAGGGGATCCCTCAGCCTGGCCTGCCACTCTCAGTACAGGAGCCCTCAGGTGAAAACAATCTGGCCATCAGGAAGGCAACGCCCCTATCATACCTCTGCTGCTGCCACTGCCAGCAGCGCAAGCCTCAGCTGGCTCCGGTTACCTGAGCCTGGGGCTGCCATGGGCACCTGGGCAGCTGCCAACTGCAGCTTGCCTGCACCTCGGGCCAGCACTGACTGCCGCCGCAGGCACTGTAGCAACCTAGCATTGATTGCAGCTGCCAAGGGAGGTGCAATACAATTGTTCAGGGGGGAGGCCTCGTCATTGTCCCACGATCGCCTGGCAGAGAAAGGCCCCAGGCAGGGCGATCAATCATGGGGCTCCCAGACTACAAGAGGGCACAGGCCAGACTGAAGGACATCGCCCCCCCCACCCCCAACTCTGAGTTCATGAATTCTGTGCACCGGGCCTCTAGTGTGTGTGTGTGTGTGTGTGTGTGTGTGTGTGTAAATATACACTGAGTGGCTAGATTATGATCTCTAAACATAATAATCCAGCCACTGTGTGTGTGTGTGTGTGTGTGGCTTGGTGCATGAATTTGTGTATGGATAAGGTCCGGCCAGGCTGGCCAGGGGGAGGGAACATGAGCGGTTGGCCAGCCTGCCTGTTGGTCGAACTCCTGGTCAAGCATACTAGCATACTAGCCTTTTATTATTTAGTGGCCAGATTATTATGCGTTCAGAAATCATAATAATGTGACCACTCAGTGTATATAATACATGTCTAAGCCACCAATAAAAGGAACTCAAAAGCCCACACAACACATGCCTCTCTCTGACTTGACCAAGCATTCAGAGACTGTAGAGACATACTGGGTGGAACATGGTAACAACTTGGTAGTCTTTCAAATTAAGATGTGGCGAACTGAAAAAAGAAAGCAATACCTGGGAAAACACTCAACTATGACAAACTATCTACCTCAATGACAATTACCTGTGCATGGCAGTAGACATTTTTGTTCTGTTATTTTTAATTACATTTTTCTTGTGAAATAACAAGAGGGAGTGAACAGTATTTTTGCTCTTAATATGCATCAGATCTAGTGAATCTGTCCTTAGTAATATTACTTTGGGACAGACATTTTCATTGTCAAATTTACCGTAATTTGGCTGATACGGAAATTGCTGGGGTGGAGCCTGTGGCATGGCAGGCCCTGCCAAAACCCCATCCATGCTGGGGGAGGCGGTCACATTAGGGGGTGGGCTGAAGGCCTGGGTCTGCTGCTGCTGCTGCTGCTGCTGTTGCTGCTGCTGCATCATCATCGCCGCCACCCTTTGCTGTCGAAAGTGATGACTTAGCAGTTCCCTGCTGCGCTGGGCAACCATCTGGGCATTAAGAAACCCCTGCTAATACCCAAGAAAGAATCAGTTACACACATAGAGCAATCACCAGCCGATTTCATACATAACATCAGGTATCAGAGAGAAAAAACCCAATGCCTTTCTATGTAATTACAAAAAAAGGGGGAAATGTACATTTCTCATCATGGTCAAGGCTTTCTATGGGTAGGAGGGGGAAGATTTTCAGAATAGGAACCTAGAAATTATTTGGGATCAGGAAATGAAAGCAGACAGTTGTCAAGCTTTAAGTAGATAACATTCAAACTTTTCAGAAATTGGAGAAAAAAAAATACAAAATGAAAAGGGACAGGATTGAGTGTATTGGGAAGAAGGGGATTTGAAACAAAGGGGGGGAAAAATGAATGGGGTTATACTCGGAAAGCAGGAATCCGTGCCAGAAAGTCAGTCTCTTTTAACCTCCGAAAGAGGAGGCAGAGGTAAGAAGTTATCTGGAACTTCCAGCGGTGACAAGATCAAAGCACTGAGCAAGGAAGCTGGTTTATGCTCTACCAGCTGGGAGACACCATCTCCAAAAGCAAATTTTTATTATCAATTTGGAGGGACCCTAGCTTAGCTTATACAGGATGTCTGATTATCAAGTAATATAGATATCAATACTTCCAAATGGACCTAAGACAGTGAAAATAGAGCATTTCACTGTTTTTTAATAATTACGAACAGCATTTTGGACCACAGTAAAGGATTTTTGTGTTATCCTCTGCCTCATGCACATTAAGAAAATACCTTGACAAAACCGGTTTGGTTCAGTGGATAGAGCGTCGGTCTTCGGACTGAAAGGTCCCAGGTTCGATTCCGGTCAAGGGGATGTACCTTGGTTGCGGGCACATCCCCAGTGGTGTGTATGGGTGGGTGTATGTGTGCACGCGTGCCCAAGAGGCAGCTGTTCGATGATTCTCTCTCATCAAGGTTTCTAACTCTCTACCCCTCTCTCTTCCTCTCTGTAAAAAACCAAAATACCTTAATACACTCTCCACCTTGGACTGAAAGTAGAAACTTCAATATTATCCCTCCCTCTATGGGAAATAGATCATCTCAGAGGTTATTATTGAGAGTAAGATTATGTTTTACTTATTTTCTTCTTTATTGCTCCTACAATTTCAAATGTTGCCTAGGAAGAATATGGTTTCATATTCTTTCAAGAAGAGAGCAAAGTTTAAAGATTACCTTAAATTCCTAAAAAAGCAGTGACAGCTGTTTTCACAATACAGCAATTGACTGCAAAAGGGAATTTTAACAAAAACACTAATCAGTGGCATTGATAAAAGATCCTTCCTCTTCTGATTCTTCCCAGTCACAAGCAAGAGAAATTATGGGGGGAAAAAGTGTGATGAGACTGTGGGATGGTTTCTTACACAAGAAACTTGGAATTATTTTATTTAGTAAACATTTACTGAGAGCCAAGCACAGGCCACACGAGACCCTGTGCTGAAACTGAAGATCGAGAAACTTATTTTTACCTGGGAGTTCACCTGGGGCTGCATCATGGGCCTCATCATGGCCGCTGCACCAGCAGTGGCATTTTCCATTTTCATCTCCAGTGCTTGCCGGCTCTGATTCAAAAACTGAGAGAAACAGGTTGGTTAGGATGCAAATGGAACATGTTAATACCTTTCCAAATCCTCAGTACTACCCAGGGAAGCACCATGGTATTTCTAAACCCATTAGCCTGGTAAGACACATCTATGCTGAACCCGTACACTTGCACACTTGATCAAGTTCATGCTGAAAAGTGTTTGGCTAGCAAGCAGTACAAACAATTAAGTTTTAAAATAGTTGTTGGGGATTAAGGAAACAATGAGAAAAATGTTATATCTCAGCATATTAAGAGTGTTCACATTTTATAAAACATCTAGAAAGCAGAGCTTCCATAAAAAGAATGCTGAGCCCTAGCCGGTATGGCTCAATGGGTTGGACATCATCCCATGCACCAAAAGGTTGCCAATTTGATTCCCACACAGGCACATGCCAGGGTTTCAAGGTTCAATCTGCAGTAGGGGGCATGCAGGATGCAGCCAATCAGTATCTCTCTTTCACATCAATGTTTCTCTCCCTCTCTTTTCCTCTCTAAATAAATAAATCTTTAAGAATGCTGAAATCAATAAGGTTTAAATATTTGGTTATTACTATTACGAACTTTTAAAAATAGAAGTCATCTACCTCTAGGACTACAAAGTCACTGAGAAATACTTTTCTCTCCCAAGAGCAATCCTCTCTGATACTGACTTTTTAACACGTACATCAGACTATTCCTATAAAAAAAAGTACCCAATTCTAGCACAGGGCCCCTAACAAGAAACCATCTATACAACAAAATGTTACACAGAAGTGAAAACAAAAGGAATTTTAGTTACAAGAGTTAGAGATCCAGTGACACAAGCCCTGAAGAACACAAGCAATTGAAGAAAAGGAGGCCACAGGCAAAGCCGCTTTGGCCAAGGCAGAGCATGTGACTGGTTACCTGCTGGCCCTGCAGCCTCTGCTGAAGCTGCATTCTAAGTTGCTTGGGGGTGTTTGTCCGAGGTCTCATCATGTTGGCCCTCGGATGCATTCCCTGGAGAGGAAAACTGCCTTGCTGGTTCATCTGACTCATCATAGAGTTAAAAGATGGCGATTGTCCCTGAAGATTAAAGCTTCCTTGCATTGGAGGCCCCTGTGCTGGATACGTCTGCCCATATAATGCTGCCTTCTGATCCATCATTACTGGTGCTTCTTGGCCTTGGAAAACATCCTGTTTGGGCTCCAAAGCTTGTCCCTTAAACATCAAGCACACAAACAAACAGTGAAGTACAACTGGAAAAACAACTGAAATCAAATGCTCTAAAGGCGGCGAAAAATAAAGTTAATGTACGTGAACAATGATGTTGTAGAGTTCCAAAAGCAAAATCATATTTAATGTCTGAAGTCCCATGAGAACACAGACCATGCCCCATCTTTCACAGCTGTGTCCTAATGCCTCGCACAAGGTTTCACACAGATACTCAAACATTTTCTGCGCCAAATATCTTCAATGTATTAAGTACCTGGAGAAATACTATTTGTTCCCGACTAGATTTCTGTACCAACATGGTATATATAAGATATATAAAGCAAATCAATTAAAATCACTATGCTTAGTAAATTCTAATGTAATTTGTAAAAGAACATTTTTGAAGTTTGCAATGGGTGACTTAGGTAAATCAACAAAAGTTCATGGCCCCTGCATCATATTCACCTAAAGGTGGTCACCTACTACCATTTGTCAGTAGTGGGCAGGCTGGATCATTCAACAAGTATTTATTTATCAGGTGCCAATTATGTGCCAACATCACTTCTGCTAAGGATGTGCACAAAATAATGTCTAGTGGATGACAAAAAAGACGTACAAATAAATATTCTGAAGGAAGGAAGAGCCTGCCATGCTGAGACAAGAAGAAACTATCGATTTCTGCATTCACCGGTATCAGTATCTTCTTACTCATAGGCACAGAGTCCACACCCTCACCAAGGCTTTCCTTAAAGCACATTTCACCCCACTGTCCGGTGACACCACCCTGGCTTTTCTCCCACCTCTCGGGCCTCTCCCTGGAGGACTGTCAGCCCTCTTCTCTCACTACATTTTCCACTTGGATGTTTTCATCTACCAGCAGCACCTGCCAATTTTTTGGTATCCAGTTCAATGTCTCTGAACTCTAATTTTGCTTATGCAAATGCCTACATGACATCTTTACCTAAATATCTCAGTCATCTCAAACTCAACATGCAAAAAATAGAAGCTGTGATTCCTAACAGCCCCCCCTCCCAAAAGCCTGATTCTCCTCCAGTCTTTCCTGTATCACAACACAGAATATGGCAGCACCGTTTATCCAGAACTAAGTCAGCAATTTTGATTCTTCCATTCTCCCTGCCCAAGTATGCACATGCATGTGTATACATGGTCCACCAAGTCCTGTCAGTTTTGCCTCCATGGCACATGGTATATCCTTCTTTCCACTCCATTGCTGTGGCCCTTTCCAAGACACCTCTCAAAATCTTATAGTAAATGGCATCTGTGTTACTAGAAAGTAGAATTTCTACTTTGTCCCATCATCCAATTCCCATCTCCAGACAGCAATCTGAGATACCTTTTTACAGTAAAAATTACTATAGGTTTAACATAGCAAATTGATCTTGCACATTTACCAATTTTCTCTTGCTAACCCTATTAAAATGACAGCAAAAAATTAAAAAGGTACTATTTATCCCCAAAACAATGAGAATAAAGAAGGCCAACAAGATCACATAATTCAATAGGTATCTGAAAGACAGAAAGTGAAAGGAGTAACTCAACAGAGCAGAGAAACTGAGATCCATGTGCCTGAGAGGAAAACACAAGAATTGAGCGAATGTCTCCTAGGAAGTCATCAGAGGCTCCTCGGAGAGAGCAGGCAGGCACAGTGCTCATAGGCAGTTGGTCAGGAGTCTGAGTAGAGGGTAGGGGGAGCCAACTACCCCCTGCCCTCAGCCTGCTCCCCAACTCCACATAGCCAAGTGTCTGTACCTTCTACCTACTCTCCTCCAAGTGCCTGGGTTCAGGGATACCAAGCACCAGAGACAGTAGGGGCAGGGCAGAGGCTGAGAACAAAAAATCTTAAATATTTATAATTTCTAGTAGAATTTCGTTTTATATCTTAACACTATGGGATCATCAACTTATTTCTCTAGCACAGCTCCCAAAATGTAACCAGGCAATAAAAAAAATTTCCAGGCAAGAAATGGAGGACTTCTCTAGAAAAACTATAAAATGGGAGTGGAGGACACGGAGGGCCAACAAATGCACATGTTGCAAATATTTTATTGATTTTTCACAGAGATGAAGAGAGAGGGATAGAAAGTTAGAAACATCGATGAGAGAGAATCATCGATCAGCTGCCTCTTGCACACCCAACACTGGGGATGTGCCCGCAACCAAGGTACATGCCCTTGACCGGAATCGAACCGCCTTTCAGTCCGCAGGCCGACGCTCTATTCACGAGCCAAACCGGTCCTGGCTGGTCCTGCTTTTTAATGCATCACTCTTAAATATAAAAAGGTAGTCCACAATCATCAGATATTTGATACTGAAAACTTCTAACATTAGTGCCTCAAACAAATAAAAACTAACTTAAAGACAAAGAAGATTAAAAAAAAAAAAAAACAAAAAAAACCCACCAATATCAATATAACACCCAACATGTCAACAGGCACCCCAAAAGGAAAAATCAGAACAAAAGATAAAATTATTAAAGAATTTATATAAGAAAATGGTCCCAAACCAAAGGAATATCTGTGTATCTAATACACAGCAGAATGAATGAAATAAGAGACATACCAAGATAGAGCATCATGAAATTTCAGAGATAAAAGGTTCCTGAGTAATTCCAAAGAGAATAAGTGGGTTTCACACACAAAGAGAAAAAGGGCAAACAGACTGGCATATGACTCAATGGCAATCCTAGAAAATTATGGAAGTTTTCTTCCAAATCCTAAGAGGAAATTGTTTTCAACCTAGAATTTAATACATAGCCAGACATGATTGTGGAGGAAGGGGAGTTGGGAAATATTTTCAGACATATGTGGATCCAAAATATTGTATCTCAGGCAGCAGAGATGAAGAAATTGAGAAATTGTAACTTAGAAAAACAAAGGAATATAGTTTAAAAAATAACCTGAGATTCAGGAACTGGGGCTCCAACACAGAAAAGTGACAATTAATAATCATTAAACCTGCCTCTCAAGGGCAGGAGTAAAATACAGGGACAGAACTACAGGAGGGAGAAAAGGAATTAAAATGTCTGAACAGGTGAAGAAAAAAATAAAGAGAAATTTTGTACTTCTGTTGTAGTATCTGGGAAGAAACAGCAGTAAGTATAAAAAACAAGCAAATAAAAAGAAGGCAATTAACTCAGAAAAAATAAAAAACAAAAACCCTATACAAACTATACCTGGATCAGTCATGAATCAAAATAATGTAAATGCTGACTGCCTATTTAACAACAGAAGACATGATTATACTGGATGTACAAAGAGAGCACGTGCACAAGTGTATGTAATGGCTCTGGGTATGTGAGTGTGCACTGGAGGAAGAGGGAATAAAAAAAAAATGCATGATTTCTTTTCTGAAATTCCAAAAATCCAGTAAAGCTCTAAAAAACAACCACTTAATTTTTCATCAGCAACAAATGTATTTAACAGCAAAACCAGACCTGAATTTATATGAAGCAATACATAATCTCTATATATCCCACTTAGCATGACTATTTATGTATTTATGTATCTTGCTGTTAAAGTATTAACATGTTTGATTACAGTCTACTGCCCAAAAGCATAGTACAGCTCCAGGGTGTACCAGAGATATTGTATAATGTGTGGTATACATGTACCGTTTACTTTTCCAAAATCCAAAACTCCTGAATTCCAAAGCAAATCTGATCCCAAGATTCTCAGATAAGAAACTCTGAATGAGTAGTCAACTATTATATCAGGAATACAATAGATAGACCGAAGTTGATAAAGAAATAATTGCATGAGCATATAACTTAGAAATATCATCAAAATATGTAGTTGAGTTTCACTACCCCTGAGACAAATGACTGTGGTTCTTCAATAAGTATATTTTGTTTCATTTTATTAAGTTACAAAGACTACTTTGCTAAAGATAAAAATTCATTATAAAAAAAAAAGGGAAAGGTTTCATCAGTACCCTGCTAAAAATCTTCCATGGCTTCCCAATGTAGCAGAGAAACTCCAGACTCCTTAAGGTGGCTCTGTGGGACCTTGCTTCCAATTGCCTCTAACATCATCTTATACCAACCTCCTCTGCTCTTGCTGACTTTCTAGAAACACCCCCAGAAAGCTTTGTCCTGCCTAAGGTTGAATTAGCAGTGCCTCTTCTGAATGTTCTTCCCCTACCCATTTGTAGATCTGCCTCCTTCTTATCCTTCAGCTTATTTGCCATCTCCCCAGAAAAAGCCTTCCTGGCCATTCAAGTAAAACCCCAGTTATTCTTTATCTCATTGTGCTGAGTTTGAAAACTCAAATATTTTCAACTAAAGAACAAAACTATAAACAAGCCACCACTACAAAGAAACTGGAAAAACTATTTGCATTAGGTAATAATCATAGTTCAAATCACATCTCAAATATGACTCAAGAGAAAAAATTGACACTGCACATCCTACCTTAAGGTCCCGTTATGCCCGGCAGGCATGGTTCAATAGTTGAGCATCAACCTCTGAACCAGGAGGTCACAGGTTCAATCCCCGCTTAGGGCACATGTACAATGCATGTGCTTAGAGTTGCAGGCTCAAATTCCAGTAGGGGGCATGCAAAGGGTAGCCAATCAATGATTTTCTCGCATCATTGATGGTCCTACCTCTCCTCTCCCTTCCTCTCTGAAGTCAATTTTTAAAAAAATTTTAAAAGAAAGATCCCTTTATGATAGTATCATATGCCTTTTCTCCTAACCTCTACTTCTAACTGTGAGGCTCCTTGCCTGATGTCTGCCTTGCCCAGTGGGATGTGAGCTCTGGGAGTAAGGATTAATTTGGTCACTATTGCCCCTCTCGGCATCTAAAAAGAGACTGTTTGGCACACAGAAGACAAATATTTGTTTAGTGAAAGAATCAACAAATCAATAACTAAACATAAAGTACTGTTGCAGATAAACAGATTAAAACCCCAACAGGAAATTATTAAAAAAACACAATTAAATGGCTAAAAAAATTCAAAGTATGTTCAATCTCTCAAATCAAAGACAGACAATTTAAAACAAGAATTTTTGTTGCTAGTAGAGTGGCAAAAATTTTTTTAAATAATCATGTTCAGTATTTCTTTTGTAACTTGTCCATTCACACCATGTACTTTGTGTACACATTTGTTCCCAACAAAGACTGAGAACACCTTAACGATTTCTCCTGCTTATCATTGAATGTACAAATCAGCCCACAGTCCTCCGCAACCTTTAAATAAATCAGACCCTACAGACACTACACGATGTATCTGTTTCAAAAAATACAGACTTATGAATGGCATGTTTTTTAAAATTGCATAAGTAACTGTGAATATGAGATGATGGTGGTGGTGTGATGACAGATTTACCATTAAAGATGGGTTTTGTTTAACATTTTAAAAAAAGCTTGCCTTCCCAGAGTATATATTGCTTGGCTAGCTAGTAAAAAGAGGTAAATATAAAAATGAGGACTCTTGCTGGGACCGGTCTGGCTCAGTGGATAGAGCGTCGGCCTGCGGACTGAAAGGTCCTAGGTTCGATTCCGGGCAAGGGCATGTACCTTGGTTGCGGGCACATCCCCGGTGGGGTGTGTGCAAGAGGCAGCTATCGATGATTCTCTCTCATCGATGTTTCTAACTCTCTATCCTTCTCTCTTCCTTTCTGTGAAAAATCAATAATACACACACACACACACACACACACACACACATATATATATATATTTTTTTTTAAGGAATGAAATCCCTTTGTTTAAAAACAAATGAGGACTCTTGCCCTGGACGGTGTGGCTCAGTTGCTTTGTCCCCTACACTTCAAGGTCATGGTTTCAATTCCTGGTCAGGGCATATACCCAGATTTCAGAATTGATCCACAATGTCTTTTTCTTTTTTTTCCCTTCCTTCCTTCCCTTCTTCCTTCTTTTCCTTCCTTCCTTCCTTGCTTCTTTCTGTCTTTCCTTCTTTCTGTCTTTATTTCTATCCCTCCCCCCATCTCTCTCTCCTTCCCTCTCTAAAACCAATAAAAATGTCTCCTAGGGTTAGGATTAAAAAATAATAAAAATAAGGACTTCTTATGTAAACTGTAATTGAAAAATATTAATAAAATAAAAATTTATGTTACAACTCTAGCCAGTGTGGCTATTTAGAGTGTCAGCCCAAGGGTCAAGGGTTCAATTACCAATCAAGAACAGATACCCGAGTTGCAGGTTCAATCCCCAGCCCGTCAGAGAGCATGTGTGAGACAACCAATAGATGTGTCTCCCTCACATTGATGCTTCTCTTTCCCTCTCTTCTCTCTCCGCTTCCACTCTCTCTAAAAGTCAATGGAAAAAATATCCTCAGGTAAGGATTAACAAAACAAGTTATGTTATTTACCTAACATAAGTAGAAAGCAACATTTTTAATACTACACAGTAGTTTTATTGGTTCATTTCTACTGTTGCCTAAAATCTGACATCTTTATAAAATAGGGTGTTGGAAATAATATCACAGTTATAAAATAATTTTTTCAATTAAATACAGATATATATGAAGGTAGTGATGTAACACAAGTAACAAGAAAGACACAGAGGCACCTGTATAGCTTCAGGGATGTGTACACATGTTCTTCTATTTCCATGTTAATGCTACCTACTTGATTTACAAGTTCAGGGATGCCCAGAGCTCGGTCAATTTCTTCTAAGCCTGTGGCATCGGTGTTGCTCAAGAGAGTGTGCAGTTGGTCCAACAATGCTCTTTCATCATTTTGTCCTTCTAGATTAGAAGGTGGCCCAAGAAGATCATCCAAAGAATTCCTAAAAAGAGGTCTAAAAAGAGACTTGCAATTACAATTTTACAAAATTAAAAAATCACAATTTCACATATTTTTAATATTCAACAAATGCTCAAACACTGTAAGTATAAATAATGAACTGAGTAGCAGAGAATAGCAAATGATATCAACTTAAATTTAAGGCCCACAATTTTATTTATTTATTTTTTGCTTAATATAGTTATTGATTTCAGAGAGGAAAGAAGAGGAAGAGAGAGAAACATCAATGATGTGAGAGAATCATTTCTCGGCTGCCTCTTGCATGCCCCATACTAGGGATTGAGCAACCCAGGTATGTGCCCTGACTGGGAATCGAACTGTGACCTCCTGGTTCATAAGTCGATGCTCAACCATTGACCCACACAGGCCAGGCAAGGTCCACAATTTTAAATTCATCAGGCCATCTACGACCATCATATCTAGCTTAGGCTGCCCTCCTCCCATCACCAAAATGTAACTGCTAGACCCCCTAGACATTTAGGGGATAGCAAAGACTGGAGTTGAGGTGGAGGGTGCAGTTTTCAAGACCCTACAAAAATAAAGGTGGTATTAATCACCTAAATTGAGAAATCAACAAAGGAACAGGAAAAAAGATAGAAATATTGCACTATCAATAAATTGAGCCTGGTATCCTGCCAAAATAACTTTTTGTTATATGTGGCCCAGAGCTCATGCAGTGACAGGTATAATACAAACTCCACATACCACACAAGGTGCCAGTTCTCAAGCATGTTAAAAGGGCATGGAATTAGACATTTCTCCTGACTCAGAAAAACTCTGTGATGAAACTATGATATTTGTTCTATACTAAGTAAAGAAACACTCAAGTTAATAAATTCATGCCGTGCCCTGGCCAGTGTGGCCGAGTTGGTTGAGCACTATCCCATGCATGGAAAGGTTGCCAATTTGATTCCTGGTGAGGAGGGCACATACCCAGGTTGTGGGTTCAATCTGCAGTCAGTATGGGTATAGAAGGCAACCAGATGTTTCTCTCCCACATGGATTTTTGTTTCTCTCTCTCTCATCCATAAAAACAAATTTTTTTAAAAATTTTGTAACAAATTCATGTTACATCATAAACTATTCAATAGATCAATTCATTTTTTCTTAGCTTGATTTATTTTAGAATTCAAGTTAGAATTGGCATTGACAGGTAGCCTCTTTCATGCAAATAAGTTACTACCAACCAACCTAAATAAAAAATATAAACATAATCCATAATCTTTTTTAGGAGTGCTATGTATAGTTCACAGTCACCATCATCCCTGAAATGTTTTAAGTAATTTTTTTTTTAAAAAAAAAAATACAATTCTTCATTAATTTTCCATTAAAAAATATACTTATTTATCCTCTGAACACCATTTATCTTATGAAACTGGTGCTAATTTATTCCCCTTCTCATGGAGGAGGATTATAACATTACTAGAGTACTAGAGGCCTGGTGCATGAATTCTTGCACATCAAAAGGAAATTAATTAGAATAAATATTTTAGAGGGCAGGGAGGAACCCCGGGAGGTTGGCTCCAGGGCATGTCCAGCCCATCTCACCCAGTCCTGATTTTGACCACTCAAGAGTCCTGGTAGCTGAACAACAGAGCTCCATCTCCTCCCTCTCCCATGAATACCACTGCTTGCTGCCTCAGCCTTGTTTTTACATACAACTATCCAAGAAATGACCACATAGCAACTGAGTACCTAATTACAGAGTTTCTCTCATTCTTTTTCAGGTTTGTTCCTGTATTCTGATCCTTTTCTAGATAATCTGAGGCTAACTTTCTGTAGAGTCACATAATAAGCCCTCACCTATTTTGAGTCCCATGAGGGCCTTGTTCCATGGACAACATGCCATCTGGCCAGGAACCTGGTTGGTGAGATGGTGCTGCTGGGCCGTAAGGACTGACCCCCATTCCCATAGGAATTTCACCAGGCCCTGGGGGAACAAAAAGGAAAGAATACATTTCAAATAAGCCATAGCAAAAATTACTCTAAAACATCTAAGTTTCTTTTTTATGAAGGAGATGCTTACGCATTTGAAGCATCTGCTGATGTTGCTGTTGCTGCTGTTGCTGCTGTGGCTGTGGCTGCAGCTGTTGCTGCTGCTGCTGCTGCAATATTGGTCTCGCACCAGGAATGCTATTGGACCGAAGAGGCAAGGTGGACATTGAGCCACCCACTGTAGGTCTGGGTAAAGCAGCATTATAATCTGCTCCTGGTCTTCCCATGGAGTTTGAACTCATGGATTCCATCCTATTGGCCTTTGAATTTGATAAGCCCCAGTTTCCAGAAGGAGGAGTCTGATTCACAGTCACATTTCTGTTTGGTCCACCTGCAACAGGTAGAAGTGATTAGGTCTTTTCCATATTATTATGAAATCCTTCTTATATCAGATAGATAAAGTTATCATACACAACATTAGCCATTACAAAAAAGTGCTTTGTCATCCTAAGAATAGGACTAGTACTTAAGACATTTTTCATGGGTGACTAGTATTCAATTACAGGTTAGAAAATGTCTTAGACCAAAATCCTCCTAAAGAGTTTAAATAACCAAGACATAGATTAACGAAGGAAATACTCATGGAAGAAAAATTATGCTACTTTTATTCAAAAACCTATTACTTAACCCCAGTTATTTAACTGGCTTTAGGTGTTAAATTTGCTTTTCCCAAAAGAAAATTTTAATCACAGATACTTAATTAGAAATAACATACCCATATTTGAACCATAATTTTCCTGACTATCCATCATTATTGGATTCCCTCCCAACAAGGGTTGCTTTGGTAACATGGGGAAAGCAGTGACATTCTTTACTGGAGGACTTGAGCCAACAGAAACAGGGCTATCTAGAGACACTGCTCGGTTGTATGGAGGACGAATGGACTGGACAGACTGTGGACTCCTCAAACCTGTTGCAAACACAGAAGCACAAAACATATAAATATCCTCTGATGATTCAATACATAAATAATCAAGAATAAGACATAAATACAATACCACCCACTCAAGAATGTCTTTCTTACTAAAGCAAACACTGTCTTCCTTTACAACATATACACAAAATAAATAAATCAATAAATAGATAAATAAATATAAAAACTTGTATTCCAAACAAAATAGAAATAAGAGTTCAATGGTGGCTGAAGTAGTGGGCAATGATGAATAGCCTGATATGGTCATTCCTATTCCACTTCACTTAATATTGAAAATGTTATCAAAGTTTAAAGGTTCTTCCCTTATGTCTATATATTAAATGGCTTCTCTGTTTAAAATATTACAATTAAGTATAACCAGACAAGTTGCCTTCTAATCAAACAAGGAATGAAACCTAAAATTTCCTAACCTTTTCCTTTTTTTCCAGTCCATTTCATTAATCTGATTATCCATTTCAGTTTAGGAAATAGTGCCAGTGAAAATGAATAACCACCATTCAGATAACAGTAAATAACTTTTTCAATTGATACATCATATTAGTTAAATAATTGGAATTTTTTTTTAAATAGGAAAATGTCCCAAAGTTTTTAAAAACGTGTAATTATAAATTAGTATAAGAAACTAAGAGGCATTTTGAAGTTACATATGCCAGCTGGATGCTAGTCTTAATGTAAGAGTACATACAAGTATGCAAAAAAGTTTAAAAGGCAGCAAAAATAAAAGTCTTTCTTACCCAGAGAATTAGTTCCTTGAAACATTTGTTGCTTGTTTCCCAGATTACTACCATTTGTGGATACAGAATTATTGTAAAAGTCAGAACTAGTTAGATCCCCAAGAATAGCGTCTAGATTATCCAAATCTCCAGATGCCTGAAAATAAAATTTTAAAGATTAACTTATGTTCATTACTAGATACTGCATAGGTATAACCATATTCATCGGAAGAAAATAGATAAAATGGGACAAGTAAAATGCAATGGTTACCTGAAATGGTAACTCCCAACTTAAAGGCTGGCTAGTTATGACCTCCCCTAATCTTCTTACATGAAACAATTTAAACTACTAAAACAATTTAAACTACTAAGACAAATCCCTTGGTTATTTAAACTCTTTAGGAGCTGCTTTCAAAGGGGCATTTCCTTAATTTGCAGTAGATATTTAATTCTCAAACTATAGGACATTTTCCAGCTAACTTTAGTCAGGATCAGTAGCAGATACAGATGTCTGCATCTACACATACCTTCTGAAAACAAGTAAGATTAATAACAAAAGCAAGAATCTGATATTCAACACAGAATTCATAGGCATGCTTTAAAAAGAGCTTTTGGTCAATAAATTTGGAGACTACTAGGTTAAATAACGTTAAATGGACATAACAGTAGGACTTTAATTTCCAAGACTTTAATTTTTTCGGGCACATATTAACATCTCCCAGAACAGTGTTCCTCAAGCAAAGTTTAGGAAGTGCTTATATAGAATGTGATCCTGTACATAAAATGTGATTTTAGGTAAAAAAAAAAAAACAAAAAACCAAAATGCTGTTACTTAATACAAATCCTCACCCTCACTCCCCTGGTTTCTTTCTACTATGCCCTTAATGACCCTATCTGCTCATTCCAACAATAAACACCTCCATGAAAATTTTCAAATTGGCTAATAACAACTTATAGTCACATTTTAAAATATATAATCTGATATTTCTAAATTGCATCAATAATACACTTTACTGATGCCCAAAAGAATTACAAAGAAATGATAGATCAAGGCCATAAACATAAAATATAAGATAAGAATTTGTGTATAAAACATTGTCTAACACAGAAATGCAAGGATGAAACACAATGACTAAGCTGGAATATATAGAAAATGAATTACCTCTTCATTTGCTTCTGTCTTAATTTTAGCATCTTTCTCTTGGCTTGAGCTAGGCACGGTGGAGCTGCTGCACTGACTCATTTTATTGTCTACTCCCTCCACTTTGGGCTGTACTTCTTTAGAGAGTGTGTCACTAGGGTCATCCCTGTCGAGCAGGTATCTGAGCAGAGCATTATTTTCCTTCTTCTTAGGACTTAGTTGCTCCTGCTTGACGTTTCCTTCCGCACAGAATGTTGCGCTGCTAGTGTCTTTCCCAGTGGCTTCTGCGGTAATCTTGGCCACTTCAGCTGGTGAATTGCCGTTCTGCAGCAACTTGTGCAAAATCCGGTGCTTCTCTTGCAGCAGTGACCCATGCATATTGGATGTGGAGGACACTCCTCCAGACGTTGAAGAGGAGACCCCAGAGGGGCTGGTGACACTAATGGAAGAGTCTTTACAACTTGAATCCAGGGGGGAGTTGGTCAAAGAGGAATGACCCCGATCATCAGAAGAACAGGTAAGTAACTGCAGTAATTTTTTATGGCCTTTGCTTTCCAGAGGACCCCGCTGATTCTCTGAACCTTCAACACTGTTCTCTTTACTGTCTTTGTCATTGAGGTGATCCCTGCTATTTGACTGACACATTGAACTCTCCACTGGATTCTGGTCACAATACAAGCTTAAGGGACTTTTTGAATCCTGACTGTTCACTTTACTTGGATGAGTTATATTCATATTGGGAGAGTTGTCCAATTTAGGGCCTGGTGAAGACAAAGTAGATAAAAGAGATGTCCCCACACCCTCACTGATAGCTTGAAGGGCACTGAGCGAGCTGCTGGAAAAGCTGTGGCTGCCAGTGTTGCCCGAAGATCCAATAGGGGAGTGCACACCTGGATTTGGAGAATAAGGAAAAGAAATAAGACTATCAAGTACTATTAAAAAAAAAGTACCACTTAACTCTTCAGAACTTCTATTATAAAATAAATTAACTTCATAAAAATTACACTGGTCTAGAAAGGATTGCTTAAAAAGAAAAGGAAATAGCAACAGGAATACCTGCAACAGGAGAAAACTGATGTGAGGCCATCTTCGGACTCCCACGATTACGAGGAGAAATCATGATATTCTGCTGGCTGGAGCCAAGACCAGGACTCCCATGTGGGGGGCTACTCATGTTGAGACCATAGTTGTTGTTCTGGTAGGAGGATGGTGACTGCATGGCTGGCCCAGGGTTCATTGTGGCTATGTTACTGGAAGCCCCATACCTAGCTCCACTCATTTGCCCTGTGGTGCCAGGGTCAGGCAAGCCATAGGCCCTGGTGTTCAGCATCTGTAAGCCTTGGTTTGGTGACATGTTCATGCCACCTACCGAATTACATCCAGCCACTGGAGGTCTAATGCCTTGTCCAACAGGATTTGGGTTCTGTCTATACCCATTCTGTTCTCTGCAAAAAGAAGAAAAAATTGACAGGCATGCATTAAAGCCCTGAATCAGATTTTCCAAAAAGGATGAAGTGGCCGAAACCGGTTGGCTCAGTGGATAGAGCGTCGGCCTGAGGACTGAAAGTCCAGGGTTCGATTCCAGTCAAGGGCATGTACCTTGGTTGCGGGCACATCCCCGGTGGGGAGTGTGAAGGAGGCAGCTGATCGATGTTTCTCTCTCATAGATGTTTCTATTAATAGCTCTCTATCCCTCTACCTTCCTCATGATATTCTGATATTCTGTTAAAAAAAAAAAAAATTCAATAAAACATACGGTATTTAAAAAAAAGAAAAAAATGAAGTGCCTAGGAACTTGCCTTCTTAGACATCATTCTGATACCCAGTGACAATTCCAATCTAGATATTGATCATTTATTAACCTAGTAAGCCACAAAATCTAAATGAGTGGCACCACCACAGCACGGCAAAGGGCCAACAGCTATGTTAACTGGAACCTCAACAAGACTCTACTTGAGTTGCTGTACACCTAGGTGTTAGCCTGGAGATGCCAGCAAACTATTCGAGATAATTAATGAATGATACTCCAGGTGTCGTTCATTTACCATTAGCAATAGCAATAGTAATTATTCTTTTATAAAAAAATATATTTTATTGATTTTTTACAGAGAGGAAGAGAGAGGGAGAGAGAGTTAGAGACATCTATAAAACAGAAACATCAATTGGCTACCTCCTTCACATTCCTTACTGGGGATGTGCCCACAACCAAGGTACATGCCCTTGAGTCCACAGGCCAACGCTCTGTCCACAGAGCCAAACCAGTTATGGGAATAGTAACTATTCTTAAAGTCTATCTTCAAATTTTAAATTCGATCCTTAGCGTAATTTAATATAGCATTGAAAATGAAAGGTAACAGAGATAGATTTTATTTGCTCTTTCATCCACTAGCTTTCCTCTTTCCCATATTTCCCAGGAAGTAATTATTAATGAACAAATACCATTTTCACATTAAAATACAACTTTAAAGAGAACATATAATCTAGGAATCTAAATTTTCTGGTAAATCCAACATCCTTCTTGCTTTTACTCTTGTGAAATTTTCTCTCTTTTTACATTAATAAAACATCTTGAGAACACTGCTGCATTTAATGAAAATACTAGTATACATTTATCTATCATTACCTCTGAAGAAAGTGGGTTGAGACAAAACCATGACGATCATTTGTTACAGGATTTCGGAAGAGTTTGCTTTTTGTTTGTGCAGTCACTATAGTTCCATCGGCCAAAGAGAATCGATACACTGGAGTTTCTGCATGGCCATGAATATAAGCTGTTGGGGAAAATGCCGTTACTAATAACTATAATTACTAACAGATACTTATAGGAAAGAAATACACTTCAAACGTAACATTTTCAAAATCCAGTGAAAGACTGGATCTGCATCAAAATTATGAACAGGTTAAACTAAGAATGCTCAAGAATAATTTTCCTATCCCACAGGCACAAAACAACAACAATGGTCATGTTTATACTTCTACTTAGCATGACAAACAATATCAAAAATCATCCTTAAAATTCTTTACCTTCTTGATAGTGACGTTTCTGGGACCATGACTGCCCATCATTAAGACTAAAAAATCTCTGGATACACCTTCGAATTATATCTTCAAAGCCAGGTCTCATGGAGGATCTCAGTGAATTTGTATCTATATTGACAAGTTTTCCTATAAGACAAAAAATAAGCATTTAAATCCAACCAACAAGTATTTACTGATTGCATATTACATGGCTTCACACTAAAAAATAAAGACACTAAATTTTTACTCTGCCATCTTTGATCCAAATTTCCATTGTATCCAAACCTTTTCTCTTTAATCAGTTAACTGCCACGTTTCCAAAATGGAAACCCATCCTCACATGCCACGATATTTTGAATTTAATTTAAAAAATCAATTTGCAATGAATATTACAAAAATAAATATATTACTCAGAATTAGGGTATTCTTAAATATTTTCAGCTGAAAATTCTCATGAAAAAGTGAGTTTCAAGTTGGTCAGGGCTGCCACTTAGGGAAAACATTTTTTTAATAGATGCACCTGGAATGTGGGGAAAGTCCGCCACTTACATCTACAGATGCTTATGATGTACAATGGGTTAAGGACACAGTCCTACAGGAGACTTTAACATTAAATGTTTTGCTATATAGACTATAAGAGTGTATCACATCTCTCTTTCTACTTTCTGAATGTACAGAAAGTTACATGTCTAGGTAACCTCAGGTTTATTTTCACTTAAAGGGGAAAAAATAACACCTACCAATAAAATTGTTCATATCTGAAGATACTATCCCTGCAACTATGATGCAAGGGAAAAGACCTGCCTGAACAGCTAGTATGGACAATTCTTCTCCTCTGAGAGGTGACTGCATTTTTGAACACTTAAAATCTAAACAGGGTTAACCAAGTACTCAAATCTGAACGTTTGACAACTTTTGCAATACCAAATGCACTAGAAATAAAATATATAGAACTCAAATATGCTAAAAAATTAAAGTAGATTTCATGATAGTCCTTAAAAATCTAGCTGCACCTTTTCAAGATTTGTTGGGAATCTCTCTCAGGGCTATATAAGAAATACAGGAAATAATCCATGCAAAGCATTCATTACACTGGGTAATATTTTCTAAATTAACAAAATGTATGTATGGCAATACACCAAGTTTTTACCTGTAAGATCATGTCTAGTAATAAAGCTCTCAGGGTTTGATGCAAATGCTCTTTCTCCTGTAGTAATGCGGCGTGCCACACAGATCATACAGGATTGCAAATCTACAATAAAATTTAACCAGGTAAGAAATGTATATAACCATTAAATATATCTGTTCAATAGGTAAGAACATGAAATCTACCTAATATAAGAGTAACATGCTAATTGACCATACATTGCAATGCCCACCAGCCAATCAGGAGTATGCAAATTAACCCAATAAAGATGGGGGGGTTAATTTGCAGGCGCTGAGCAGCCAGGGATGGGGCGGGGCAGGATGCTTGCATCGTTGCAGGCATTCTGCACCACCCCTGGCCGCTCTGAAGCTCTGGGGCTCTGGGCCTCTGAGCCTCGTGCAGCGTGGGAAGGCGGAAAGGCGGCTCCAGGCCAGAGCTGAAAGGCGGTGCCAGCAGCTAGGGAAAGGAAGGCCCATTCTTGTACGAATCTTCATGCATCAGGCTTCTAGTTCAGTAATAAGAATTGTAACAATGGAAATTACAAAATTACAAGTTTGGCTGCTATTTGTTTCATAAACATCACAAATATGTGATCACTCTTACCTTCCCCTTCCTCCATCATAGCTCGTGGCTGAGACAGGGCAAAGCACTGCATGGTTTCATATCTCTGGCGCATTTCAGGACTGGTGTTCATGTCTTCCATGATATCATGTGGTGCTTTCATCAACATACGGCAATTAAATGTATGGCTTTTTTGTCTCTGGGTCTCATTTGTCCAGGTAACTCCATTAACTTTGGAAAATAAATTTTAAAAATTGGCAACTCAGTCTATGACCATCATTAAGAACTCAAGCTATATTTTCTCATTGCACACATTTTCCTCAATAAGGGCTACACTAACATTTCAAGATAAGAGTTTCCCCTCACCCAGTTTCAGTTACCCATGGTCCAAAACTCTGAAATGAAAAATTCCAGAAATAAATAATTCCTAAGTTTTAATTGCATTCCATACCGCCTCAACCTGCTGGGACACGAATCATCCTTTGTCCTACATATTCACACTGTATACTCTCTCCACCTGTTAGTCACTTCACAATTATCTCCATTATCAGATCTAATGTCTCAGTAGCAGTACTTGTGTTCAAGTAATCCTTGCTTTACTTAGTAATGGCCCCAAAGTGCAAGAGTAGTGATGCTGGTGATTGGATATGCCAAATAGAACATATAAAATACTTCCTTTAAGTGAAAAATTTATATATATATATATATATTTTTTTTTTTTTTTAAACGCACAGTGTATATAATGACTGGCACTATCCACAGTTTCAGGTATCTACTGGGGACCTTGGGTCATATCCCCTGAAGATAAAGGGAAGCTTTTGCACATAAAACATTAAAATAATTTCAACTAAAACAGAAACTTCACTGTATATTTTGGTCAAATGAAATGTATACCATATTCTAAATTCACCAAGATCATATTTGAAAATTTTACTATTAACCACTTGCCTTTCTACATAAAAGGTAGATTTAATTTTCTAAGAAATGGTCAAGAAAAAATTTTCTCAGTTTATTTAGAAAATACATATTAAAGGCCTACCTGTAGATTTTGGTAAGTTTTTAAGGAAATCCTTTCTATCTTCTTCATGCAAGATATTATAGACACTTGTGTTAACCAGGTCCTCTTGCTTATATTGCAGGTATTGTGTGACATTTTCTGACACAAATACAATGTTTCCATCACGATTCACCACAAATAGGAAACCATCCAATGCCTAAAATGGGATATGTTAATATTGGATATTATGGAATATATGATATCTCTACTAAAGTTCATACGTTGAACCCCTAGCCTTCAATGAAGACAGGGCTTTTGGAAGGTAATAAGGTTAATTGAAAGTATATAAGGGTAGGGTTCTAATAAAATGACTGGTGTCCTTTCAAGGAGAGAGAGAGAGAGAAACCAGGGATGCACACACCGAGAGAGAAGGCCATGTGAGGGCACAGTTAGAAGGCAAACCAAGAAGAGAGGTCTCAGAAGAAACCAAGCCTACTGACCCTGATCTTGGATTTCCAGCCTCCAAAATTGTAAGAAATAAATTTTTGCTATTTAACCCACCCACTCTGTAGTATTTTATTATGACAGCCTAGCAGCAGACTAAGATACAGGCGGAACGAAGGAACGAAGGAACGAAGGAACGAAGGAACGGAGGAACGGAGGAACGGAGGAACGGAGGGAAGGGAGGGAAGGGAGGGAAGGGAGGGAAGGGAGGGAAGGGAGGGGAGGGAGGGGAGGGAGGGGAGGGAGGGGAGGGAGGGGAGGGGAGGGGGGAGGGGGGAGGGGAGGGGGGAGGGGGGAGGGGGAGGGGGGAGGGGGGAGGGGGGAGGGGGGAGGGGGGAGGGGGGAGGGGGAGGGGGAGGGGGGAGGGGGGGAGGAAAGGGAGGAAAGGGAGGAAAGGGAGGAAAGGGAGGAAAGGGAAGGAAGGGAAGGAAGGGAAGGAAGGGAAGGAAGGGAAGGAAGGGAAGGAAGGGAAGGAAGGGAGGAAGGGAGGAAGGGAGGAAGGGAGGAAGGGAGGAAGGGAGGAAGGGAGGAAGGGAGGAAGGGAGGAAGGGAGGAAGGGAGGAAGGGAGGAAGGGAGGAAGGGAGGAAGGGAGGAAGGGAGGAAGGAAGGAAGGAAGGAAGGAAGGAAGGAAAGGAAGGAAGGAAAGAAGGAAAGGAAGGGAAGAAGGAAAGGAAAGGAAAGGAAGAAGGAAAGAAGGAAAGAAGGAAAGGAAAGAAGGGAAGGAAGGAAGGAAGGAAGGAAGGAAGGAAGGAAGGAAGGAAGGAAGGAAGGAAGGAAGGAAGGAAGGAAGGAACCCTACTATTGATTTAGTAATCACTCCAAACTATTATCAGCCACCATTTCTATTAACATTAGTTCCAAGGTTTTATCAATATATAGAAAAGCCTAAGCGGCCATTCGACCGGTAGTTATGATGCTCACTGACCACCAGGGGGCAGATGCTCAGCACACAGGAATGGAATTATGTAACAGACTGATGAATCTCAGAGGGAATTGGGGGGGAGGGAGGGGGAGATTAACCAAAGATCTTATATGCGTACTATAGGCCCACTGCATGGATTCATGCACTAGTGGGGTCCCTTGACCTGGTCTGCAGGGACTGGGCCAAAACCAGCAGTCTGACATCCCTCGAGGGGTCCTGGATTGCAAGAAGGCACAGACCAGGCCGAGGGACCCCATCGGTGCACGAAACCATGCACTGGCTCTAGAAAAAAAATAAAAAGATAATTTGAAGGAAAAAATGTGTAAGTCAATATAAAGTCTGAATTAATGTCTAATCTAACTTTCGAAGAATTCAATCTTCAAAGCTTTAAAAAATGAACAAAATTATCCTTATTGCTTCCCATTTGTCCATCTGATTCCAAGTCAGGCTACACAAACTACTCTATTCCTTTTTGAGAATTTACAGAGAAATGTACTATCAACTAAAAGGAGAGAAGCAAACTAGATGAAACAAAATCATTGACAAGACAAGTGAATTTTATGAAGGGCTTTAGGCCCTGAGTTTAAGTAAGAGAAACAGTATGTAAGTGGTCTAAATGAATCATATCTACTTAAGACAACTACTTAGAAAATGCACATTAAACCTTAAAAGTTCCTGCCAGAGGGGAGGGCATTTTGGAGACTGGATGAAGAAATTGAGAAGTACAGATTGGTAGTTATAAAATGATCAGAGGGATGTAAATACAACGTAAGAAATACTAGTATAGTCATTAATATTATAATAATTGTGTGGTACCAAGTGGGTACTAGAAATATTAACCTGTTAACCGAGCAGGACTTATAAATACGTCAAACGTAAACAATATCTGGAACAAGGAGGACATATGAATACATCCTTGAAATATATGTTGCGCCCTGAAACGGACAGTATATATTTTTTGTAATCTTTATAATTGTTGGTAAAATTTATAATTTTTTAATTCGATGTTTCCATTTTTTTGTTGGTATTCTTTTCTATTTGTTTGTAATTTTGTATTTTCCTTTGTGCTTTATATATAAACAAAAAAATATACATTTCATTTATTTTAATTAAGTATGAATAAAAATAATAATAATATGAAATTACGTCCACCAGGCGTGACGTACTGACACGTCCTAGTGAAAGAGTATGCGCACATTATACGTTGTGTAATTAAAAAGGGAACTCCCCGGTTAACAGGCTAAGGGGAACACTTTATAAAGTATATTGTCTAACCACTATGCTATATACTTGAAACGAATACAAAATAATATTGAATGTAAACTTTAATTGAAATTTTTAAATTAGAAAAAAAAATTCCTTAAGAATTTAAAATTGTAGTACAACATATGATCAATCATGAAAAAATGCACAAAGAAAGTCTGAGGTAAAATATGCCCTACTATTACCTTTCCTCTCTTGCTCCTTGGTATTTTTTGTTTACTTCCTCAGTTTGCAATTACAGTTTTATAAGTAAGTGCCCCTCCTTCCCTGCAGGCCTTCTGAGTTATACATTGTAAATATAAGAACATTTTTCCATCATATTCAAAATACTAAGTTCTGTCTCATAAAAAGAAATCTATCTTTTTGTTCTCATTACCTAACCAAAATTTCAAGTTTTTTTTTTTTTTTTTAAATAAAAACAGCTTACTGGATAGCTAAAGCCATATACTTGCCTGAAGTAAAAGTGGTCCTAAGGAGTCTTTATCAATAACCCCCTGTCCTGTAGAAGATACATCAGCTTTCTGAACATCATCATCATTGGAAATAGCTTTTCCTAAAAAGACAGAAAACAGTACTACAAAGAGCACATATACCAGTGATAGATTAAATCCACCTTCAAATAGTCCCCAGAACAAAGGAACACACACGTGCATTTGCACATACACATACACAATATTTCCTGGTTAAGAAAACGATACTACCATTTTTACATATTAAAATTAAGCTTCAGAGTTACCAAGGAGGATTTTCTATCATTACTAAATGTACTACTACCCCATGGCTTCCTGAAAAAGAACTAACATTTGACAGAGAGAGCAAAACTGGCCTTCTTCCAATTCTTTGTTACTAGTCCTAAAAAGTAAAACTGGTCAATCATTTGTCCATTCGCACAGAGGCTAGCCTCAATTATGAGCAGCCCCCGCCTAAGCAACAAGGAAGCAAAAAAAAACAATTAACAAGTTCCTTCTAAAAGACTTGAGTGTTTTTCTTACTTTGTATTACCTTGCTCTTTTATTTGGCGTATCTGTCTTACTGTTTCCTTCAAAATTGCACATTTATCTGGTTTGACATTGAAATTGTCAATATCACTAAGATTAGCAGATATCAGTTCAGCCAATTCTTCAATGTATTTACTCTCCTGCTCCCGCCTCCGCTTTTCACCACTGCAGGTAAGACTAAGAAGAGGGGCGGGGAGAGGGGAAGAGAGGAGGGACATGAATATACCTATCACAAAAGAGCTATGAGCAGAATCAGTCCCTACGCAACACGATTACCTTCATGTGTAAATAAGCTAAATTCAGCCAGTAAAACTATCAAAACATTGTGTTCAAAAGTGGTACAAAATAGCATAAATTCATGCAAACCTAAATTCAAATCTACCTTTTTGTTAACCCAGTAGCCTTAAGCAAAATTAATCTCCGTTTCATCAATCTGGAAATTGGGGATAAGTATCAATAATGAGGTTTCATAAATTGTAGATTGTTTTTATTTTCAACTATCACATTAAAATTCAAATGATGCTAACCTTGGTAAATACAGTACTTAAAAGGATACAGAGTATCACTGCATAAAATGCAGCATTTTATTTCTATTTTTTTTAAACTTCTAACTATATTCAGGAAACAAATAATGAAGGCTTACAAATGCCAAAATATCAACTAATAACATGTTCTTAAAAAATATTTAAAATCCTTATTTATAATAATCTCAGTTATCTGTTCCTAACTCCTACCTCTTCCATTGATAAATGCTTCTTACAGTATCACCCTGTTAGTAATATATTCTCGCTTCTATCTGAATCAGCAATAAAGCGTCTATTACATCATAAGGATGTCCATCTCATCACTGTACCACTTTACTTACTATAAAGCAAAATAACAGTATTAAAGCAAAGACAAAAACCAAAAACATCTAACTAGAGAATGTAAACAACAAAAAATCGAAATGTTATCTTTACACCAAAAAAATAAGAGTAGGGGAAGAAATCTTGGTGAAGCACCAGAATATAAACTGCCTACCCTTGTCCTGGGGTATCACATGGCAATTTGCGTTTTCGTGAATCAGGGACCAGTGGATCCAAGGAGTTTTCTCCTAATCCGCTCATCGTGAATATACATCAGCAACTAAGAAAGAATAATAAGATAAAAACATTATAAAATATCCATGACTCTATAAAGCTATTATATGCTTGAATAACTGCACATCATATAATTCAGAACTACTTTCCCTAACTGGTTAGATAATTCTCAATATTCTTTTTTGTGAGATTTTTTAAAATTGATTTTTAGAAAAAGAGAAAAGGAGAGGGAAAGGAAGAAACATTGACGTGAGAGTGCAACATCAATCAGCTGCCTCCTGCATGCTCCTTACCAGGGATCAAGCTCACAACCCAGGTATATGCTCTGACCAAGAATCAAAATGATAACTTTTAGGTGCCTGGGACAAGGTCCAACCAACTAAACAACATTGGCCAGGGCTTGATATTCATTACAGTATATCAACAAGTATACTGAAGACAACCTGAGTCCATATTCCAGTTTGATTACGTATTTTCCAGCGTATATAAGACGACTTTTGAAACGAAAAAAAGTCAACCGAAAATCAAGGGTCGTCAGAGAGGCAGTCTATTAAAAAAAGAACTGGTGTTGCCTCGGAAGTGGGGGGTAGTCTTATACAGCGAATATAGGCCTAACCCTATGTTTTAACTGTAAAATTAGGGGGTCGTCTTATACGCCGGAAAATACGGTACTTAGAATGCCCAACCCCAAGAGAGAAATGCTTCTCCAGTGCTACCAAAAATGCGTACACTGAACACCTCACAAGAAATTAGGCATTTTCTTCATAATTAATAATAAGACAAAGAGACTGCCAATTCCTCAATTGATAAAATCCTAAATTTTATTTATTTCCAAGTAAGCATAAATAAGGGCTTATCATTTGGTAAAAAATATTCCAATGATAAAAGTCTAAATTATATCAAGCTGTTTTCAAGGTAGCACATTTTTTTCTTTAGATTTCATTAATATTTATCATCCAATGTGTTTTATTCCTTTTACTTCAAAAAACCTAGATTGTATAAATAACATGTAAACTCCACTACATTCTGCTTAAGTACACAACAATTAAACTCAAGTAGGGGAAGAGGGGGAGGATAGATTTTTATAAGATATACAAAGCAAAAATTATTTTTATATTAACTGATGGAAATATATGCTTTGATTAAAGTTTCACTAATAAAGAAAATAAATGTAGAGCATTTCTTGGGGGAAAAGAGAGATTTAAACACTGAGGAGCTCATAATTTTAAGACATCTATAACCTTAACTTACTAAGAATTTTTTTTGCCCTAAACTCTTATTTAGGAAAGCAATCATTGTTCTAAATAATTCCAAGTCAACCACGCATTCCAAACTATTTTTTTCTTAACATGCTAAAATGCAGCTTGTAGTCAATCTACATTCTGAGACATACATTAAGGACATAAATTTCCACTAGGGGGCATAATACTACCAAAAAGGGAGATTAAATGAAAATGTAAAATTTAACGCAAGATGCTGATCAGACTTAAAATATGTAGTTTAAAAATCAAAATTACTTGATCATTAATCAGGAGTTCTAGATTACACCATTGTCTTAACAGATACTCTAAATATGAAATAAATGTCAACAAAATTTATTCTACCTATAATTTTGGTAGTAAAATATAAAAGGCTGAAAAGCTAAGATGTTTTAAAAACTTGGTGGGTTTTTTCCCCTCACAACATTACGTTACAATAAAGGAGCGAAAAAGAACTGAAAATAACTTTGATTAAAAGTTGCTTAATGCTATGATTTTAAAAGCATACTCAGAATACAATACAATCCCAGAAGCCTTTTCAAGCCCGGGACACTGCAGTACAGAAAATGACTACAGTGGACTTTTAATCAAATGAGAATCTAAAGGCCCAAAGTGTATTCAATATGAACTCAACCATATAGATATTTGAGCCATTTTTGCAATTATTTTTTCTTATATGAATTGTTTCTACTAAAGAGTTAATCTATGCTATCCTACTTAAATATATGAATGTGACAATACACATTTTACTAGTAAGTTTACAGTCATCCCTCAGTATCTACAGGAGATTGATTCTAGAACACCCTTGGACACTAAAATCCATGGATGTTCCAGTCCCTTATATAAAATAGCATAGAAAAATACAGTCAGTCCGCATCCACAGATTCCCTACCACAGACAAAAATTACGTTGAATGTAAAACCCACAGGTACAGAGGGCAGACTATACAGTTAGGCAAGATATTCTGTGCAATTACCTCAAGTAGAGAATAGTAGCCATTTATAATAACTTTCAATGCTATCAAAATTTAATTTTACCTATGTCTATGTTATTTGGAAAAAGTCATAAGTATATCCACGATAAATCCGATTTAAAATGAACAAGAATCTTATAGCAACTGAACAGAATTCCTCATATAAATACTGAATGTCCTTCCATACATAGTAGTCAAACTATAGAACATGTTTAAGCTGAGACATGAATAGAATAAAACAAACTGCTAGAAAATAAACATTCCTACACTTGAATTCAGGCTAAAAAGCAGCAAATAATTATACTTGTCAATCAGCTCAAAAGCCATGAAATTGTTACATATGGCTTAGCAGCATTAACTAGCTTTCCTTTTGGTTATTTGAGGTTAAGACAGGAGGGGAAATCTTGATTGTGTACAACAAACTAGCCAAATGCACAAGGATACAGGAAGCACTTACTCCCTGTCCAAAAGGAAAAGATATTAATCAACAAAACTGATGTCACTAGGCAAGCAAAAAGTTATTTTGTGGAGGCCTAAGAAAAGCCATACCATGACAAAATGGGGAGGAGATAGGTTACCCAGTATATCTCAAATGGCATATAGACCAACAAAAATATTTTACTTTTTCTAAATTAATAAGGAAAAAGGAAGGGAACAACTTTTGTTGCTACAGTGCTGAGCATAACAAATATTCTATGTAATTTCTCACAGCAACTCTCTAAGGTATGTATTATCATTCCCATTTTATAGATAAGGGAATAGCTACATAACTTTTCACTAGATCACACACAGATACCGGATGGCAGAACTGAGACTGCGATTGCTTCAAACTTTATAACCAACAAAATATTTATCTAATGTTTCTTGGGCATTTTATCTCAACCCCATCACCATCACCAAAAAATAAACCTTTTATACTGTTGAATCACACTATCTCCAACCAGTTAGCTGAAAATTTCTCAGCCCGTAAGTAAGAATACTGAGAAATTATTACATCCAGGGTTAAGGCCATGCACTATTAGGGACAGAGGCAAGGAACTGCTCAAGTTAAACAGGTACTAAATGTTGCTACTCCCCTCCAGCTCCTAAAAACCAATCATTAATCTACAAGTCACCAGATAAATTGTCCTTTGATGTAGTCTAATATTAACCATGACTCTTATTTCCACTTGAGACGGTCAGTGGCTCACACAGCAAGAAAAAAACCTGAGATCAGAAAATCACAAACTATACCCTAAAATAGTCTTAAGTATTTTTATTCTTGTATTTTGTAAGATTAAATGCTGGGGCCCAGAACTCTCTGACTATCCCCACCAGTAATTGAGTTTATTGGTCAGGCTTGTTTGCCTGAGTTATGCAAGGTTATGATTAATATGCTAATTTAGGGAGTGTTTCTGGGTGTCTCCTGAGAATCACAGTAACTTAAGGAAATTTTTCAAACGACTGTAGAGTTGACTTCTTGAAAACATCTTGAAACACTATGTAAAAACACATATTGCTCAAGTCAATTAGAAGAAAATATTGCTCTTGGAAAAAATTTATGAGACATTCGTATATAAAGGCACTACTCAAAACTCAAGTTACAAATTGGCATGCTTACTCAAGACACTTTAATATGCAGTCACCACTAGTTCATCTAAAGGCTTAATCCTACAAGATTATATTTTCTAAAATATCAAAGGCTTTATTTCAATCTGTTGTGCAGCTCCAAGAGCAGCAGTATCATGGAGGAAAGAAGTGAACAAAATACAGCCACGGATTTCCAGGGGACAGGGAGTAGTAGGGGAGAGACAAGTCCACACATGGAACCACAATGAAAGCTTCCTCTTCCAGTGATTAACGCCTACCTTTATGCTTTAATTCCACCTTCGTAACGAGAATAAGAGCTAAAAAGAGACAAGGAGGGAGGAAAAGAGGGGAAAAGTTCCAGATAAAAAAACTAACTGGAAATATCTTTTTGTTCTGCTGCTGATAACCTGTTGTGTTTGGTGAGATAAAATATAAACTACCTAATGCAATCCATTTTTTTCAATTTAATTCCATTTTAGGTCCAGGAAATAAAAAAGAATGATACCACACACTGCTAGAACTCAGGCTAGCAGAAGAGAAAACCATTTAAACAATTACAAAATAATTTTGTAAGTGTTCAAATGAATACACTGTAATAAAGAACATGGGAACAGATGATAGGAAACCTACCAGCTTACAATTAAAAAAAAACAACTGCACAAATGGTGTCTACAACCTTGGTGCAGACACTATAATCTCAAGACCTGATTATTCTTTTCCTCTATCTTTATTTTATAATGCCAGCAAATATGGAAAGGAGCTACCAGAGAACAACCAAATAAAATATACTATTTTTATTATTTAAGTTTGGCTGAAAAGCATCGAATGTAAATTAACAGTCATTTTATCCACAAGGTTTCATTCCCTCTTCTTCTTATGTTTGCCTTTTCATTCTTAATCAACAGGCCAATCCCAAAGGCCCTTCACATTTTTGCTCCAGTTTAAATTTGAAGTCAAACTCAAACACAAACTCCTCAGAGGCTCTAGTACCAGAACTGGGCATACCAATTAGCCAAGGCAAGTGTTGGATGCAACTGGAAGCCGATTGCTAAGAGACTTTTCAACCTCTACATAAGCAACAGAGTTGAGGTCCACAAATATACATTGTGCACAGAGAGAGTTAAGCCAATTTCATCTAAATAATATTACCCTCTCCTGACAGCATACTAAATAATGGGGTAATTCCTTAGTTGTTTTAAAGGTTACACTGACTCCTACAATTTAAT